GCAGCAATCAGAAATGATGAGTTTGTGTCGTTTGTAGGGACATGGATGAATCTGGAGAACATCATCCTCAGCAAACTGAAACAAGAACAGAAAATGAAACACCACATATTCTCACTCATAGGCGGGTGATGAAAAATGAGAACACATGGACACAGGGAGGGGAGTACTAAACACTGGGGTCTACTGGGGGGAAAAGGGGAGGGCCAGTGGGAGAGGGAGGTGGGGAGGGATAGCCTGGGGAGAGATGCCAAATATGGGTGAAGGAGAGAAAGGAAGCAAAACACACTGCCATGTGTGTACCTACGCAGCTGTCTTGCATGTTCTGCTCATGTACCCCAAAACCTAAAATGCAATAAAAAATACAAAAAAAAAAAGAAGAAACAATAGAGAAAGTCAACAACACAAAACACTTTGAGGAGATCAATAAATGTGATAAAACTCCATTTAGCCAGGCTGCTCAGAAAAAAGAAATAAAACAAATTATTAATTTCAGAAATAATGTGACATTATTACAGATTCTATAGATAGTAAACTTTTAACAATATTATAATTTCTATGTAAATAAACATGGCAACTTAGATAAAATTAATAAATTTCTTTAAAAATGAAAATTAGCAAATCTCAATCAAGAAGCAGTAGATAACCTGAATTTCCCATATCTATAAATGAAAGTTAAGTTATAACTGAAAACCTTCCTAAAAGAAAACTTCAGACCTAGCTAACTATGCTAGTGAATTCTCAAAACATTTCTGGAAGAAAATAATACAACTGTACAAAAACTACCCCCACCAAAGAAAACAACAACAAAAAACAAACAAACAAAAAAACAGAGAGTAGTGTATCTCAACTCAGTCTGTAATGTTAGCTTTACTCTGAACCAAAACCAGAAAACGGTATTACCAATGAGCAAATTCCCTCATGAACATGAATGTAAAACTTCAACCAATTTGTGATGCAAATAAGACATCCTCCAATAGCTGAGTGAATAAACTCTGGGTAAACAGCCATACACAGTGGAATATCACTTCATGCAAAAAAGAAATGAGCAATCAATCTATGAATATATGTGAAGGAAACTTTAATGCATATTACCTATTGACATAAGCTAATCTGGAAAGGCTACTTAATGTATGATTCCAACTGTATGATACTCAGGAAAAGGCAAAACTATGGATAAAGTAAAAAAGTGCCAGCCGGGCGCGGTGGCTCACGCCTGTAATCCCAGCACTTTGGGAGGCTGAGGCAGGTGGATCACGAGGTCAAGAGATCGAGACCATCCTGGTCAACAAGGTGAAACCCCGTCTACTAAAAATACAAAAATTAGTTGGGCATGGCGGTGCGCACCTGTAGTCCAGCTACTCCGGAGGCTGAGGCAGGAGAATTGCTTGAACCCAGAAGGCGGAGGTTGTGGTGAGCCGAGATCATGCCATTGCACTCCAGTCTGGGTAACAACAGGGAAACTATCTCAAAAAAAAAAAGTAAAAATGTGCCAAAGGGTGAGGGATGGCAGGAAAGGATACGTAGGCAGAGTGCAGAGGATTGTACCTTTGTCCAAGCCCACATATGTACAGTACCAAGCATGAACCCCAATGCAAATTATGGGCTTTGAGTAATTGTGATATGTCAATTTAGGCTCATCTATCATAGCAACTACCACTATGGTGAAGGATACTGGTAATGAGGGAGGCTACATATGTGTTGGGGTGGGGGTATACAAAAAATGTCTGAAATTTCCTCTCAATTTTGCTGGGAACATAAAAATGGTCTAAAAAATAAAAATCTTTATAATAAATTCTAAATGAGACTTTAGTAAATTGAATCCAACAGTATAATAAAAAGATAATACATCATAAACAAATGAGGTTTATCCTAGAAATGCAGGGTTGGCTTAACATCAAAACATCATAATTATTTACCATATAACAAAGTAAAAGTAAAGACCCATAGGATCACTCCAACAGATAGAGGCATCTGATAAAATTCACTCTCGATGTTTTAAAGCAGAAAAACTCTCAGGAACATAAGAATCCAAGGGAACTTCTTCAGCATGATAAGCAACACCTATGATGAATCTAAAGCTAACATGCAGCATAGTGAAAAATGGAATGCATTTCCCGTTAGATGAGGAACAACACAGGAATGTCTGCTGTCACTACTTGTAGGTAGCATCTTTCTGAAGATTCTAGTTAATGCAGTCAGAAAAGAAAAAGAAATAAGAGGCATCCAGGCTTAAAAAAAAGAAAGAAAATTGTCTTTATACACATCCATGGCCATACAATAGGTATGGGTAAACCCCAACCTGTGGGCCAGCTTCTTGTCTGTGTCAATAAACTTTTATTGGAACCCAGCTGTATTCATTAATTTATAGATGCTCTATGGCTGCTCTCATACCACAATGGCAGAGTTTATCAGCTGCAAAATAGACCCCTTTGACACAAGTCTAAAATATTTACCATTCTTAGTAAGAGGGTAGTTTGAGAAAGGTTTGACAACCTTTTGTCTATGTAGAAAACCTGATCAAATCTACCAAGAATGTGCCAGAACTAATAAGTGAGTTTAACAAGATTGAAGGATACAAATTCAACATAGAAAAATCAACTGTATTTCTATATGCTAGCAATAAACCATCAAATCAAAAATTTAAAACATTTTTAGAGTTTTATAAAAAATGTATGTTTAGATTAGCGTTGCTTAACCTGTGTAAAGTCAAATACATCTACACTAACTAAAATATAATTTACAACTTCATAAAAAATGAAATACAGATAAATCTGATAAAATATGGAATGACCTATAAAAACTAAAAATTACTGAGAAAATTAAATATTACCTCTATAAAAGCAGACACACACTTTATTGAGTAGATTCACTATTGTTAAGATGTCAATTCTCCCCAAATTAATCTATAAATATGACATAACCCCAACCTAATTTCCAACAAGCAAGCAGTCTTTATTTTATTGATAAGCTGATTCTGAAGTTCATGTGAAAATGCAAAGGATCTAGCATTGTCAAAACAGAGCTAAATTAGAGGAATCATTTCAGGAATTACTGAATCAACAGTAACCAAAACAGTATGCCACAGGTACAGGTTGAGTATCCCTTATTCAAAATGTTTGGGACTAGAAGTTTTTCAGATTTTGGATTTTGGAATATTTGCATAAGCATGGTGAGATATCTTGTGGATAGGACCCAAATCTAAACACAAAATACACTTATTTTTCATATATACCTTATACACAAAGACTGAAGGTAATTTTAAACATGACTTTTAACGATTTGGGGCATGAAACAACATTTGTATACATGAGGTCAGATGTGGAATTTTTCCACTGTGGCATCCATGTTGGCAATCAAAAAGTTTTGGGTTTTAGAGTATTTCAGATTTGGGATATTTAAATAAGTGATGCTCAACTTGTATAAAGAAAGTCAAATACAGACAATCCACAACTTAAGGTGGTTTGACTATTGACTTTACAATGGGTTTACCACAATTTGAGGATCATCTGAAAATTAATAAAACTCAATAGAGAGTCCAGAAATAGATAACACATATGCAACCAGCTTATGTTTGACAAAAGCAGGATGGCAATGCAGTGGAGCAAGGGTAGCCTTTTCAACATATGGTGCTAGAACAAGTGGATGTTCATATCCAAAAAGTGAACTTGAATCCATACCTTACTTCATCTGCAAAAGGAAACTGAAAATGGAGCACAGATTTACATACAAGACCTAAGTCTATAAAATTTCTAGAATAAACCATAGGAAAAAATCTTTGTTACCTTGCGCTAGGCAAACATTTTTTACATATTACACAAAATGCAAAATCTGTAATTCAACAATTAAATTGGACTTCACCACGATTAAAACTTCTGCTCTTCAAAAGATACTACAAAGTGAGTGAAAAGTCAACCCCAAAACTGGAAAAATATCCTTATAAAAAAGTAGCTAAAAAGTAACAGTATCCAAACACGTACAGAATTACTAAAATTAAACAAGTAAGAAAACATCAACCTCATTTTTTAAATGGCAAAAGATTTGAAAAGACAGTTCACCAAAGAAGATGTACAGATGGCAAATAAACACATGGAAAGATGTTCAACATTTTTAGTCGTGAGGATTATGTACATTAAAGCCATAATAATATACATAATACACACTCATCAGAATGGCTAAAATTAAAAAAATAAATAAATACAGCAGTAGTGTCACAACATGGCAAGCAGAATTGTCATTTGCTGCTGACGAGAAGGGAAAATAGTACAAATATTTTGGAAAACCATTTTGCAGTTTTTAAAAACAGGAATATAAAGAGGCGTGAGGAGACTTTAGTGGGTGATGGATATATATTAACCATCTTGATGATGGTAATGAGTTTCACAAGTGTATACATCGGTTAAAACTTATCAAATGGTACCTTTTACATGTGTGCACTTTATCACATATCAATTATATCACACTAAAGCTACTGATTACAGGAGCAAACACCTAAGGCACTGACTCTGACACTGAGAAGAGAATGCAATGATGCAGTGTAAAGCTAGAGGACTGAGATCTGTACCTTATTGCAGTAAGTGGCAGCTGAGTTTTCAGCAAGCAGGTAACATGATCAGTATTGATTTTTTCACAACTATATAATTATGGTTGCAGAACAGGCCATGGTTTTGGAAGGTGGAATCGTAGGAAGGACAGTTATAAGGTTACCACAGTATTTCAGGTGGGAGGAAACGATAACCTGACCATGGGTAAATAAATGGGTAAAAGCACACAAGAGAAGCAGAGTAAACAAACAGATTAGGAGTGCCATTCACACTGATAAAGGTACAGTGAAATGATCATAGCTCTTTGGCTGAGAGTGTACAAGATACAGTAGTTCTCATTCTTAAGGCATATTTCTGAGATGAACATTCTCAAAACATATCAGCACTCTATGGTACAGTGGTAAGCATTGTGTGCATACATAGAACAGAAAAAAGTCTTATATTTATGCATTATCCTACCTTTACACTGCATTCCATGTCGATCAATGAGTAATATAACTTTCTTACAATTAGAGGAAAGCGAGTCATCATCCTCTGAGGCTATTTGAGATGACTGAATTGTGTCATCAAGGTCATCCCTAAAATGTATTTGGTTTTTCATCTGCAAAATAAATAACACTGTTTCAAAATGTCCCCCAAATAGTTATAGCATATACTAAATGTACAGAAGTGGGAATTATTCAACTAGCACAAACACAGGTACTAGTTCTGTACTTTTCTTTTTTTTAGCAATTTCCTTTATGTTGACACTTGTTCAGAAAGCCACATGGTATATAGATAAATTAGTTTCCCGGTCCCTATTCCATTTAGAAAACTGACAGAGAGACTTGCGTTAGTTAAGGAACAAGGATTAGTATAATGTCTTCCTGAACTTGTATCATTTCAACTGCAGAAACAATCAATTTCTACATACAGTAAGTATTTAGATAACCTCATTTTACACAAGATATTTTCATAAATAAAAAATTCAAATGGATCAAATAATTGGTGAAGAGAAAAAAGAGCAGCATCAAGCGACCCTCTAAGTCTTTTTGAAATTGAACTTCCTCCAAAGCCAGGAATTCTACTTTACTTGTAATATGCTTACCTCATTCTTAAATCTTTGCATGTATCACTTAATTCCACTTCTAGACATACTGGTGATGTTCTGTCACCATGTGGTGGAGAATAATGCACATTCTCTAGTTAAAGTTTTATGCTTTTATACCTTTTTGCACTACAGTTGTCATATAATGGCTTCTGGAACAAATTCTGTATTGGTTTTGTATCGTTGTGTTTGTAACAACAAAAACACTATGACTTTTTTTCTTAAAATTTTTATTAATCATTTACAAGTAACAAAAACCCAATATGTGTTAACACATAAACAACATTTTTGAAAAACAGCTACTTTTCTTTATTTCACATATTAAAACCCACTTAAAATAACCATTTTTCTAACCAACAACAACAAAAATTCACTAGTGAGAAGAGTACTACTGCTTTACATTTTTCCAAATCTCTTTAACGTCTGATGACAGACAAAAGCTAGAATCTCATATCTGCTTTTGCATTCAACCTGTTAAAATATCATACCTCTACACACTCATGAAAAAAAATGAGAGTGAAAAAGATAAATGATGGCCAGGTGTGGTGGCTTACACCTGTAATCCCACCACTTTGGGAGGCTGAGGTGGGCAGATCACTTTGAGCTCAGACATTTCAGATCAGCTTGGCCAAGATGGTGAAACCCAGTTTCTGCTAAAAATTCAAAAATTAGCCAGGTGTGTTGGTGGGCACCTGTAATCCCAGCTACTTGGGAAGCTGAGGTAGGAGAACTGCTTGAACCCAGGAGGCGGAGGCTGCAGGGAGCTGAGATTGTGCCACTGTACTCCAGCCTGCGCAACAGAGCAAGACTCCTCAAATAAAAAAAAAGAAAACAATAAATGATGAAATGATGTCTTAGTATTATAAAAATAGCTTTGACCTAGAATACCATTGAAAGGCTCTTGAGGCTACCTAGACCACACTTTGAGAACAACTGCTCTAGATAATTTCCTCATTTTACATATAAGGACCCTGGACCTCAGAGAGAATAAGTGAGAAATCCAACATCACACAGTTTGTTAATAGTAGGATACAGATATTAGATGGTTTGTCTCACTTCTCTTGGTTTAGGTTCTCAATTAGAAGCCAAATGGCCTGACCTATTCCCTGTAAGTTGCAAAGACTGTCACAATATAGTACCCTCTCCCACCATTTCTTTAATAAAAGAGGTAGAGCAACAAACTTAGTAAATTTTGCAACAGGCATACTGTGTTTGAATTGAAACTACAATATTCAACTTTGAGTCTCTATTTGAACAGAAGCACTAAGGCAAATCCAACTGCCTCCTACTCCATGCAAGCTAGTAATGACAAGTTGCATGATAAATATCATAGATAAATATGGAAAGCAGATTACCCATAATATATCAGTATTTATCATATATTCTGTGTCTGGAATACAATTCAATGGCATATTTCAGAGAAATTTTGTAAAGTACTGGCTGAAAGGGTGGCAGGTACATTAAGAGACTGCAAATAAACTGGCAATTGCAAGAACTTTTTTAAATAAAATGGAGTTCTTCTGAAATGTAGATAGTTTTCATTCCCTAACCAGACCTTATTTTTGTCTTTTGAAAGAAAATCAAGCAATCTTCTCGGCCCCCTAGAGATGATTTCCTTTGTATCCTACCAGATGGTTCAGATCTTCTTTAAATGGACATAGCCTTGTTGTTTTACACAATGTAGTCCCCAGAAAAGCTGGTCTAGAGGAGGAAATTCTTCCCAAGGAACCCACTCCCAACTTTCATTTTTTTTTTCAGGCTCTACATTCTTTGGTTCTGAATCATGAGTCACATCCACTTCTCTTTTCATTAATATAGTAACACAATGTTAATTCTCCTTCTCAACGAAAGAATTCACAACTGACGCAAAGCGAACATTTTTCAGGTGAAGAACTGCTTCTTCCCAGGTTTCCCTTTGAGCACATTCTTCCCAGCTCTCACCAAACTCCAGGTGACCTCCAGGGAGTTGGAAACTGCTGGCTCCAACTGATTCATTATGTGTTAAATTTACCAAAACTGAATTAGGAGATGACCTGTGGTACTACAAAAGCACCACCACTTAAAAATATTTTATCCCTTTACCTACAGTGTACACTTGAGCGTTTTTCCAAACATTACTAAATTATTAGGAGCCAAAATCAACACCAGTCAGTAAGAAAAGCAAATTCTTACATTTTAATGCTAATTATGAATTGTAATATGATTGACAGTGTTATATATTTATATAGATTATAGGCTTAAGTTGTAAGGTCCACTAATGACAGTGGATTTAATACATTTAATAATATTTACAGATTTCCTATATTGAAATACATCAGGAAGTGATAGTACATCTAATGCCAAAGATGCCATTCTGCAAGATATGATTCTCTTGACAGAGAGTTGAGTTGACTTTGTGATCCATTCTCTTCCTGAACATAGTAGCTAAAGTCGGAGATCACAAGGGAAAATAAATTCTTAACTTTGGTATGACTGGCAAAAAGAAAAAAACTGCAAAGTTTGAACCACTAGAAAGAATGACTCCTTTAGAATCCAATAAAGTGGGCATCAGTGTTAAATTGTTCATAATTTCTATTGCTTCAAATTGCAATTCAATATTTGATGTACATTCTTTATTATAATAGGAAGTTATAAAAATAGAAGTGCAAACAATATCAGGAACTTTTAAACTCAATTCCAAGAGTAACGATTAGATATAAGTTACTATAGAGTCCAACACTATTTTGAGTTTTATAACTAGTTAAAATGTTTTTTAAATGGAATATTAAATTATAATTAACTGATACTAAAAGGCTAATCCAAAGTAAATTCACTTGGAATATGCTGTATTACCAAAGCCAGGAAAACAAGATTAAACCAGATATTTGATTTAAAGTTTTTACATACCCATGCCTGGTTATTTTCATATTCTTCAAGCTTCTTTTGCTCTCCCTCTGATGCCAATTCTAAGTCTTGTTCTGTTAAAAAATATATATATATTTAGTTAAAATGAGCTATATAGAACATTTAGATAAAAGCCATAGTCTTTCTAAAAATAGAAAATAAAATTTTTATTTTATAAGTTGAGAGTTTAAATGAAGCTTAATCTTTAGTATAGTATTTACTTCTTTAAGAAATGCTTTTAATCCTCCAAAACTTCAGCAAACCACTTGGGGAGGCACGAGATGTCAACAGGTTGGAGCCATATAAACATGGCCAAAGATTCACTTGGAAATTCATCCGCCCAACATCAATGAACAGTACCATCAGAAATAAAACAAAAGGTAAAAATCCAATAGAAACAGATAAAGTAACAGTACACTGCTCTTTACATCACAATAATAGTACCTTTGTAACAACACACTGAGCCTGCTGTTCATTATTGATGATTTCCGAAATGACTGCTACTGTTTACACTTTCATCAATGTGCAGTCTCTTCTTTTTATACTAAATATTTTCCTCAACTATTCTGACGAATTTCTTTAATCTTTCTTAAAAGATGAAAGACTCGGGCCAGGCGCGGTGGCTCACGCCTGTAATCCCAGCACTTTGGGAGGCCGAGGCAGGTGGATCACGAGGTCAAGAGATCGAGACCATCCTGGTCAACAAGGTGAAACCCCATCTCTCCTAAAAATACAAAAACTTAGCTGGGCATGGTGGTGCACGCCTATAGTCCCAGCTACTCGGGAGGCTGAGGCAGGAGAATTGCTTGAACCCAGGAGGCGGAGGTTGCAGTGAGCCAAGATCGCGCCATTGCACTCCAGCCTGGGTAACAAGAGCAAAACTCCGTCTCAAAAAAAAAAAAAAAAAAAGATAAAAGACTCAGACAGCTATGTGAAGTCTTCCTTGATTCTGGCTATCTTTCCTCAGATCAACAGTTTTATTTAATATAGGTTTTAAAATATATATACTTAAGATTTCAAAAGTGAGATTATGTCTCAACTAACTATAATTAAAATAGAAGAGTGTATCTATTCCAATGTAAACATCCTGACTGATAATGAGAAAAATGACCTTTAATAAGAATAGTAAATCATGATTCTGAGAGAATAAGTGTCAAAGCTGATGGGAGGATGCTATGGCCTGTTTTAATGCAATACATGAAGTTCAATTATACCAATATGCTACAAGCACTTATTATTTTCAACTATTTTCCCTATTATTTAGGAAGTACAAAATTGTGAGGACACTTCCAATAAATATATAATTTATTTCTCATCAAAGAAACTGTTTAAAATTAATCAGCTTAGACAGAATAAAAATAGAACTATTCATTTTTTTTTCATTCTCAGGTGGGCTACCACTATGTCTACATTGCTCATATCCTATACTTTGGCCCTGTCAAAAAGTTTCTTGATCCATTCATGCAGGAAGATTTTTAAGAAGATCAAAATAGTGTATAATAAGCTTTCAATGTGTAAATAATAGTAAAAAATGAATAATTTAATTTTCACAGACTTATTAACTTTTCATACTTTATAATCATTTCAATATTCACTGAATATATCAGCTTTGTTATTCAAATAACTTTTTGTTTCTAAAATTAATTTGATTTGATATATCATGCTTATCTCTAAGGTACTTTCATGGAATTGTGATTTTTTTAAAAAATAGGCTTCTTAATAAAATCAAAGTTTCTTAGTTCAAATTCATTTAATTTGATTAATATCAAAACTTCTATATAACTTTCATGAATTATTCCCACTCCTTCTTTCCTCTTTATTTAACAGTAGTATCTTACATGTATAATTTCTATTTCCTAAATTTTTGTTCCTTTCTCTCTGGCTAGAATGATGCTCAGAAATAACAGAAAAATGATACTTTTGCTTTGACTTTGTTATGTTTTGAACTGCTATCAGATGGCAAACAGGTATATGGAAAGGTTCTCAGCATCTCTAATCATCACAGAAACGCAAATCAAAGTTACAATGAGGTATCTTCTCACCTCAGTTAAAATAATTTTTATCCAAATGACAGGCATTAAGAAATGCTGGTGAGGATGTGGTGAGGATGTGGAGAAAGCAGAACCCTTGTACACCATAGGTGGCATTGTGAATTAGTACAGCCACTATGGAGAACAGTATAGAGAGTCCTCAAGAAATTAAAAATACAACTACCCACTGGATCCAACAATCCCATTGCTAGGTAAGACTCAAAAGCAAGGAAATCAGTATTATGAAAGGGAAATCTGCCCTAAGGTGTTTATTGCAGCACTTCCCACAATAGCCCGATAACTGAGAAGGTATACAATTACAAAGACACCTCAGTTGAATGTACACTTCACATCTCTTCAGTGGAAGTGTCCTGAATTGAGCAGTTTGGATATATGTTTGGTGAATCTCAGGCCTGTTGAATCAAAATGTGTAGCTTCAATGAGCACCCTGCTAATTTATTTGGGGGGGGAAGTTCTATCTTGAGTGATCATGACATTAAATGTGTATTGCTAAATTACCTGCTCCAGATTTTTGCCCATCTGCTGTTCCTGTGGCTACATTCAAAAGAGAAACTTTCCTTTTCAACAGAGCCTGAATGGGATGAGAAATAAAGAAATCAATATGTAATGTATATTTGATAGACTATATAGTTAACATTTTTAAATATAAATGAAAGAGTAATTACCTTCCAGGCACGTTGTTTCTGAGAAGACACTGAAAAGCAAATGGGATACATAATCAATCATATATAAATATGATAAAGTTATCAGTACATTCATGCAGTGTTACCATCAAGCTGTATCCCACTGCCTGTATTAGTGTAGGCTTTGATACTTTATACTTTGTGTCTTGGGACAGGAACATGACAGAAATACACTGAAGAAAACAGGAGTACAGTCTTCAAAATATATACACTTACACTGTCAAATGTGATATGATTTGTCGTGTGTCTAAAACTCAAATAAAGCAGTGTCAATATCAATGTGGATATGCCGAGTGATGAGGACCAATGTGATCTAAAATCAGAGGAGCAACTCATACACCTGAGAATCAGTGTCAAAGCAGGTGGTACATACTCCTGCATGTCTTTCATAAAAGACATCAGAAGAATTTATACCATTATGCTACAAACATTCATCATGCTCTTTAACTTGCCTGATAACTGAAAAGATACACAATCACAATGACACTTCGGATGAACGTACACTCACGACTCTTCAGCGGAAATGTCCTCAATTGATCAGCCTGGATATATGTTTAGTGAATCCTAGCAGATAATATTCATTATTTTTCATGCCCATGTGGTGTAATAATGTGCCTACATTTCTTGTATCCTGTAGTTTAGCCTTTCTGAAAGTTTCTTCATCTACTCATGACAACAAGGTATAATATAAAAACCTCAAGAAAAATATCATTAATTATCGATTTTGACATATTTTTACAAAATAAAACTCCTACAAATATTAGTTATTAACCAGCTTTTACATTCAAAAATCATTCCAATATTCATTGAAAAAAACCATTTTAAGGGTCAATTAATAAATTCAAAATTATTGTTGTTTCTAAAATAGTCTTGTTTCAAGTATCACATTATTCTCTAAGAAATTTTCATTAAATAGCTATTTTATCCAACAGATAGCTCCTTGAACAGCGAGGACAATATATTAATATTCAAATTTGTCTAATTTGTATAACTAAAATCAACAAAACATGTATTTCTGATGCCTAATAGTAACACAGAAGAGTAATAAGTCAGGGTGGTTAATCCCAATTATAGCATTTTTCCTGCTTCAAGTCATTCCTGAAGCAGCCAAAATCAAATCTTCTTATATGTAAATATTGGAAATGAATCTGAAATGAGCTCATTCAGGTTTCCTCAGCAGATATCCATCCCAAAATTAAAGAAATAATTTCTTTTTTCCCCTCCTTCCTCACATTTCCTCTTCCTTGCGGAAAATAATTACTACATCAGTGATCTCTTTAGTTCCCATTCTACAGTGTTTATGTGTCATTACAATCACTTCTTCTGTCTGGTTCTAGCAATACGATGTGGCACCTACAATTTCTTTTACTTCATCTCTTTCTCCTTTCCCTGTTTATGAAAACATAGCCGTAGATGTAAAGCAAATTATGCTCCTGCTGAGCTCTCTAATGGTTCTTCTTTCCAATTACAATGTAGAAAAGTCTTACTTACATCTTACTATTTAGATCATGGCCAAGGAACAGCAGCACCAACAGCTCCCAAAAATCTCAGGCCTACTGAATCAGAATGTACAGCTTCAATAAGCCCCCTGCTGATTTATTTGGAGGAAAAGTCATTCTCTTCTATCTTGAGTAAACATGACATTAAATGTGTATTGCAAAATTACCTGTCTCAGATTTTTGTCCATCCTTTATTTCTGTGGCTATATTCGAAACAGAATCTTTCTTGTCAATTGTAGCCTGAATGGGATGTAAAACAAAATAATCAATACATAAAATATATTTCATAGACTATACAATTAATAGTTCAAAATATAAATGAGAGTGTAATTACCTTTATGGCCAGCTGTTTCTGAGAATACACTGAAATCAAAAGGGATATGTAATCAATCATATGTAAATATAATAAAGGCATCCATGTATTCATGTAGTGTTAGCACCAAGCTGTATTCTTCTGCCTGTATTAGTGGATGCTTAGATGTTTTAAACTTGGTGTCTTGAAACAGGATCATGACAGAAATACACTGAAGAAAATAAATACAAAGGCTTCACGAAATATAAACTTCCAATTTCAAAAGTAATAATATTTTTCATATTTCTATTACTACAATAAAAACTTGTTATTATCAATGTGGATATGCTGAGTAATGAGGACCAATGTGATGTAATATCAGAAAGGCAACTCATATACCTGGGAATCAATGTCAAAGCAGATGGTAAAGGCTCCCGCATGTTTTTCATGCAAGACATCAGAAGGATTTATCCCATTATACTACAGATATTCATCATGCTCTTTGACTTGCCTGATAATTGAGCAGGTACAAAATGACAATGACACTTTAGTCAAATGTACACTTCACAACTTCTCAGTGGAAGTGTCCTGAATTGAGCAACTTACATATATGTTTGGTGAATTCTACTATATAATTTTCTTTATTTCCCATATCCATGTGGTGTAATAATGTGACTACATTTCTGGCATCCTCTAGTATAGCCTTCAGAAAGTTTCTTCATCCATTCGTGGCCAGAAGACATAATACATAAACTTCATCAAAAAGTATGAGAAATTATCAAATTTGACATACTTATACAAAATAAAGTTCCTACAAGCATTAGATATGAGGAAGCTTTACATTTAGAAATCACTCCCATATTCATTGAAATAACCATTTTAAGAGTCAATTAATGAATTCAACATTATTTTTATTTCGAAAAAGTTCTGGTTTGAAGTATAATGTTGCTCTCTAAAGCATTTCCATAAATTACTTTTTTATCCAAAAATTAGCTCTTTGAAAAAAAAAAAGCCAATGTATGCATATTCATGTTTATCCCATTTGAATAATATCAACAAAACATATATCTCTGATGCCTAATAGTAACATAGAAAAGGAATGAGTCAGGGTGGTTCATCCCATTTCCAGCACTCTTTCCTGCCTCCAGTAGTTCCTAGAGAAGCCAAAAATCAAATCTTCTTTTATGAAAATATTCTAAGTGCATCTGAAGTGAGTTCACTCAGGTTTCCTCAGCAGAAACCCCAAAATTACATAAATAATTTCTTTTCCCTCCTTCTTGCCTCACAATCTCTCTTCCTTGAGGAAAATAATTATTACATCAGTGGTCTCTTTAATTCTCCTTCTACAGTGTTTATGGATTATTAGGATCACTTCCTCCTTCTGGTTTTAGCAATATGATCTGACACTTAGAATTTCTGTTATTTCAAATCTTTTCATTTTTTCCTTCTTGAAGAAAACATGCTGTAGAATTAAAGCAAAATTATGCTGCCCGAGTCTGGTATGTCCTGAAATGCTCTTTAATGGTTCTTCTTCCCAATTTCAACGTAAAGAAGTCTGTTAGCTTACTACTCAGATCATAGTCAAGGACCAGCAGCACCAGCGTCAACTAAGAACTTACTACAAATTCAGAATCTCAGGCCTGCTGAATCAGAATGTGCAGCTTCAATGAGCCCTCCGCTAATTTTTCATGGAAGAGAAGTTCTCTTCTATTTTTTTTTAAGGAGGTGACAACACATCTGTTAGGCAGAGTAGTGACAGGCTGCGCCCCAAAGTCCAAACAGGCCAGGCAGAGAAGGGCAGGGACAGGGCTCAGGCTGAGAAGAGCAGCTGTGTCCAGGCGGGGTGGCCGGAAAGGGCGGGCACGAAGTATGGGCCCACAGGCCTAAGTCATTTGGTGTGGGGCTTCCAGCATCTCCATGAGGAAGGTGTCGATGGGCATGTCCCCAGTGAGCTTGAAGAAGAAGAGATGTTCCAGGCACTTGAGCCCAATGGAGCGCAGAGCCGGCAGGCGGAGCAAGAGCTTGGCAAACTATGCGCCAGGTCCGAGGTAATCCTTCCGGCAGGGATACATACGGCATGAACCTGTGGGTCATGCCAGCCACGGCCCACTAGCCCAGAGAGCCTGCTCAGGACCTACTGCCCAGGGCTGGGCCTTGGGAGGCTGCCACTTTCTCATTGACATAAAACAGCCTTGCAGAGGGTGGGAGCTCTGCAGACAAGAGCCCACGTCTGGGCTCTCTCTCTCTCTTTTTTTTTTAGAAGGGAGAAATGTCTCCCCTCGCTTGACTGGCATTCAAACCCTTCTGCCTTGGAGAGAATTCTCAGGCCTCTTGAGATGGGAAGGGAAGGGGAGGGGAGACAAAGGACCCCCCCCACCGCAGGCTTGCACGCAGGGCTGTTTGCTGCTGTGGGCATGGAGCAGGTGAGGGCCACCATCAGGGAGCAGGGGCTGGACTCCCACGTCTCAGGGATGGGCTCATTCTATGCTGGGAGAGGAGAATCACCCCCCCGCCTGGCGCAGCCCCACCCTCTGACCCCTCAGGAAGATAGGCTGTGAGCGGAGGATGGAGCTGGGATGGTGATGGGAAGTTCTGCTTTTGGTTGGTTGGTTGAGAGAGGTCGTTTCTAAAATTCAGGGCACACGTGTGAATTCTTTCTAACTAGTCTGCCCCAGCCCAGGTCCCAGGGCACACTCAGGACTGAGGAGGTCGGGGCCTGTGCAGCAGGAAAGTGGAGAGCCTGGGGCAGGTGGGCCACGGGGTCCAGAGATCTTCAGCCAGGGGAGAGCCTGGGTGGGCCACAGGGTCCAGAGGGCTTCAGCCAGGGGAGAGCCTGGGGCAGGCGGGCCACGGGGCCCAGAGAGCTTTAGCCAGGGGAAAGCCTGGGGCAGGTGGGCCATGGGGTCCAAAGAGCTTCAGAGAGGGGAGAGCCTGGGGTGGGCGGGCCACGGGGTCCAGAGATCTTCAGCCGGGGGAGAGCCTGGGGTGGGCGGGCCACGGGGTCCAGAGATCTTAAGCCGGGGAGAGCCTGGGCGGGCCACGGGGTCCAGAGGGCTTCAGCGAGGCGGCACTGGCTTTAGAGGGACCCAAGTTTCTGTCATTGCTAACAGTTTAAATTTAAAAAGCAGAAGGCCGCACTCTGGCCAGCCGGTTGCTGGCCGGAGAAATTGGGGCGTGGCGGAGTCTGTGGCAGGCTGGTCCCGCCCCCGGCTGCTGGTGCGGGGTCTTGGACGCGGCGCGGCACGGCACATCAGCCACAGGAGCAGCCGGCACCCCTTTCTCATCAGACATCCCCACATCCAGGAGGAAAATGACATCCCGTTGTACCTGAAGGGCGGCGTCGTTGACAACATCCTGTACCGAGTGACCATGGGGCTGTGTCTGGGCGGCACTGCCTACGGCTTGTACTGCCTTGGCTGGGCCTCCTTCCCCCCCGCAATAAATGAGACCAAGAAGCCTAGGGGTCTGAGGAACTTCAAGAAGCCTGGGGGGTCTGAGGAACCTGGACAAGAGTGAACATGACATTAACTATGTATTGCAAAATTACCTGTCCCAGATTTTTGTACATCCTTTGTTTCTGTGGCTATATTCACAACAGAGTCTTTCTCATCACTTGTAGTCTAAATGGGATTTGAAACAAAATAATCAGTACAAAAAGTATATTTCATAGACCATAAGAGTTAATAGTTCAAAACATAAATGAGAGTACAAATACCTTCAAGGCCAGTTGTTTCTGAGAAGACTCTGGAAAAGAAAGGGATACATAATCAATCATAAGTAAATACGATAAAGTTAACCATACATTCATGAAGTGTTTGCAACAAGCTGTATTTTCCTGCCTGTATTAGTGTTGACTTAGATGTTTTATACTTTGTGTTTTGGGACAGGAACATGACAGAAACACACTGAAGAAAACAGGAGTACAGTTTTCATGAAAGATACACTTCCAATTTCAAATGTAATCTTATTCTTCACGTCTATTACTTCAAGAAAAAAGTGTCATTATAAAGGTGGATATGCCAAGTGATGACGTAAAATGTAATCTAAAATCAGAGGAGCAACTCATACAACTGGGAATCAATGTCTACTCACTATTGCATGTTTTTCATGCTGGACATCAGAAGGATTTATACCATTATACTACAAATATTCATCATGCTCTTCTACTTGCCTGATAATTGAGCAGTACACAATGACTATGACACTTTAGTTGAATATACGCTTTACAAGTCCTCAGTGGAAGTGTCCCAGAATGACCAGCTTAGATATATGTTTGGTGAATTCTAGTATATAATATGCTTTATTTGTGGTGTCATAATGTCCTTACATTTCTTGTATCCTCTAGTATAGCCATCTGAAAGTTTATTCATTGACTCACAGCAAGAAGGCCTAACATGTTGATTATGAGAAACAAAATTACTACATCAGTGGTCTCTAGTTCTCATTCTACAGTGTTTATCATTTATTATGATCACATCTTTCCTCTGGCTTAAGCAATACAATCTGATAACTATAATTTCTATTACTTAATCTCTTTCTCCTTCTACTCTTGATGAAAACATACTCTTAATGAAATCAAAGAAAATTTATACTGTTCCCTGAGCTGCTTATGCCTTGACTACTCTCCAGTGGTTCTTCTTCCCAATGTCAATGTAGGGAAGTCTATAATCTTACTACTCGGAACATGGCCTAGGAACAGCAGCATCGGCATCACCTGAGAACTTACTACAAATGCAGAATCTCAGGCCTGTTGAATCAAAATGTGTAGCTTCAATGAGCACCCTGCTGATTTATTTGGTGGGGGGAAGTTCTATCTTGAGTGATCATGACATTAAATGTGTATTGCTAAATTACCTGCTCCAGATTTTTGCCCATCTGCTGTTCCTGTGGCTACATTCAAAAGAGAAACTTTCCTTTTCAACAGAGCCTGAATGGGATGAGAAATAAAGAAATCAATATGTAATGTATATTTGATAGACTATATAGTTAACATTTTTAAATATAAATGAAAGAGTAATTACCTTCCAGGCACGTTGTTTCTGAGAAGACACTGAAAAGCAAATGGGATACATAATCAATCATATATAAATATGATAAAGTTATCAGTACATTCATGCAGTGTTACCATCAAGCTGTATCCCACTGCCTGTATTAGTGTAGGCTTTGATACTTTATACTTTGTGTCTTGGGACAGGAACATGACAGAAATACACTGAAGAAAACAGGAGTACAGTCTTAAAAATATATACACTTACACTGTCAAATGTGATATGATTTGTCGTGTGTCTAAAACTCAAATAAAGCAGTGTCAATATCAATGTGGATATGCCGAGTGATGAGGACCAATGTGATCTAAAATCAGAGGAGCAACTCATACACCTGAGAATCAGTGTCAAAGCAGGTGGTACATATTCCAGCATATCTTTCATGCAAGACATCAGAAGGATTTATACCATTATGCTACAAACATTCATCATGCTCTTTAACTTGCCCAATAACCGAGAAAGTACACAATTGTGATGACACTTCAGTTGAACGTACACTTCACATCTCTTCATTGGAACTGTCCTAAATGGATCAGCTTCGATATAAGTTTGGAGAATCCTAGCAGATAAGATTCATTATTTCTCACACCCATATGGTATAATAATGTGTCTACATTTCTTGTATCCTGTAGTTGAGCCTTCTGAAACTTTCTTCATCCACCCATGGCAAAAAGATATAATGTATAAACCTTAATGAAAAGTATCATCAATTATCAATTTTGACATACTTTTACAAAGTAAAAGTACTACAAGCATTAGATACTAATAAGATTTTACATTCAAAAATCACTCCAACAGTCGTTAAAAATAACCCTATTAGGATTCTAATAATGAATTCAACATTAGTTTTGTTTCTTAAATAGTCTTATCTGGAGTACCATGTTATTCTCTACAGAATTTTTATGAAATAGCTATTTTACAAGAGTTAATTCCTTGAACAACAAGCCAATGTATTCATATTCAAGTTTATCTCATTTTTATAACTAAAATCAACAAAATATGTATCTATGATGTCCAATAGCAACAAGAAGTAATGAGTCAGAGTGGTTCATCCCAATTCCAGCACTCTTTCCTGCTTCTAGTAGTTCCTGAAGTAGCCAAAATCAAATCTTCTTTTACATAAATATTCTAAATGTTTCTGAAGTGAGTTCACTACATTTCCTCAGCAGAGCCCCAAAATTATATATATCACTTCTTCTTTTCCCTCCTTCCTGCCTCACAATCCCTCCTCCTTGAAAAATATAATTACTGCATCAGTGGTCAATGTAGGGAAGTCTATAATCTTACTTCTCAGATCATGGCCAATGACCAGCAGTATCAGTGTCACCCAGGAAATGCAGAATCTCAGGCCTGCTGAATCAGAATGTGCAGCTGGGATGAGCCCTCCACTGATTTATTCATGGAAGAGAAATTCTCGCCTATCTTGAGTGAATATGACATTAGCTGTGTATCACAAAATTACCTCTCCCAGATTTTCGTCCATCCTTTATTTCTGTGGTTATATTTGAAACAGAATCTTTCTTGTCACTTGTAGCCTGAATGGGAGTTGAAACAAAAGAATCAATATATAAAGTATATTTCATAGACTATAAGAGTTAATAGTTCAAAACAAAAATAAGAGTATAATTACCTTCAAAGCCTGTTGTTTCTGAGAAGAACCTGAAAAAAAGGAATACATAATTAATTATAAGTAAATATGATAAAGTTATTCATATATTCAGGAAGTGTTTGCAACAAGCTGTATTTTCCTGCCTGTATTAATGTAGGCTTTGATGTTTTGTACTGTGTGTCTTGGAACATGACAGGTATATATTGTAGAAAACAAGAGTACAGTCTTAACAAAAGATATACTTCCAATTTCAAATGCAATATTATTCTTCATATGTCTATTATGACCAAAAAAAGTGTCATTATCAATGTGAATATGTCAAGTAATGAGGTAAAATGTGATCTAAAATCAGAGGAGCAACTCATACATCTGGGAATCAAAGTCAAAGCAGGTGGTACATCCTCCCACATATCTTTCATGCAAGACATCAGAAGGATTTATACCATTATACTACAAACACTCATCATCCTCTTCTACTTGCCTGATAATTGAGCAGGTACACAATGACAATGACACTTTATTTGAATGTACACTTCACAAGTCCTCAGTGGAAGTGTACTGGATTGATCACCTTGGATATATGTTTGGTGAATCATAGTATATAATATGCTTTATTTCTCATACCAGTGTTGTGTATTAATATGCCTACAGTCATTGCATCCTCTAGTTTGCCTTCAGAAGGTTTCTTCAGCCACTCATGGCAACAAGGCATAATACATAAACTTGATCAAAAAGTAAAATAAACTGTAAAATTTGACGTACTTATACAAAATAAAGTTGTTAGGAGCATTAGATAAGAATAAGTATGAATAAGCTTTTACATTTGGAAATCACTCCAACATCTATTGAAAATGACTTTTTATAAGAGTCAATTAATGAATTCAGCATTATTTTTGTTTCTAAAATAGTCTGGTTTGATATATGACTAAAGCATTTTCCTCATATTGCTATTTCATCCAAAAGTTATCTCTTTGGAAAACAAAGCCAATGTATGCATATTCATGATTATCTCATTTAAATAACTAATAACAAAATATACATCTCTGTTGCCCAACAGTAACAAAGAGGAGTAATGAGTCACTGTGGTTTATCTCAATTCTAGCATTGTTTCCTGCTTCCAATATTGGAGCAGCCAAAATCAAATCTTCTTATACAAAATATCCTTAATATATCTGAAGGGAGTTTACACAGGTTTCCCCAGCAGAAACCCAAAAAATCCGTAAATAACTTCTTATAACTCCTTATTTTCCCTCCTTCCGGCCTCGCAGTCCGTCTTTCTTGAGAACAATAATTGCTACATCAGTGATCTCATTAGTTCTCATTCTACAGTGTTATGGGTCATTACGATCACTTCTTTCTTCTAGTTTTAGCAATACAATCAGATGCTGGTAATTTCCGTTACTTAATCTCTTTCTTTTTTCCCTCTTCATGGAAATATGCTGTGGAATTAAAGTAACATTATGCGGTCCCTTGAGCCTGGTATGTCTGGCACTGCTCTTTAATGGTTTTTCTTCCCAATTTCAACGTAGAGAAGTTTACAATCTTACTACTCAGTTCATGGCCAAGGCTCAGCAGCATCAGTTTCACCAGAGAACTTACTACAAAGTGCAGAATCTCAGGCCTGCTGAATTAGAAGGTGCAGCTTCAGTTAGACCCTGCTGATTTATTTAGGGAAAAGAAGCTCTCTTCTATCTTGAGTGAACATGACATTAAATGTGTATTGCAAAATTACCTGTCCCAGATTGTTGTTCATCCTTTATTTCTGTGGCTATATTCAAAACAGAATCTTTCTTGTCACTTGCAGCCTGAATAGGATTTGAAACAAAATATTCAATACACAAAGTATATTTTACAGACTATACAGTTAATAATTCAAAACATAAATGAGAGTGTAATTACCTTCAAAGTTGATTGTTTCTGAGAAGACACTGAAAAGAAAAAGGGATACATAATCGCTCATATGTAAACACGATAAAGTTATCCATACTTTCCATATTTATCCCTACTTTCATGCAGTGTTAGAATCAAGCAGTATTTTCCTGCCTGTATTAGTGTTTATACTTTGATGTTTTATACTTTGAGTCTTGGAACAGGAACATGAAATACACTGAAGAAAACATGAATACGGGCTTCAAAAAATATACTCTTACAATTTAAAATGCGATATTATTTGTCATTTCTCTAAAACTAAAATGTTGTCAGTATCAATGTGGATATGCCAAGTCATGGGGACAAATGTGATCTGAAATCAGAGAAGCAACTTGTACACCCTGGAATCAATGTCAAACAGGTGGTACACACTTGTGCATGTCTTTCATGCAGGACATCAGAAGGATTTATACTATTATACTATAAATATTCATGATGTTCTTTCACTTGTCTGATAACTGGGAAGGTATACAATGGCAATGGCACTTTAGTTCAATGTACACTTTGTTAAGTCCTGAGTGAAAGTGTTCTGGATTGATCAGCCTGGATATGTGTTTAGTAAATCCTAGTATGTAATATTCATTATTTGTCACACCTATATGGTGAAACACTGTGTTCACATTTCTTGTAGCTTCTCGTTTAGCCGTCAAAACTTCTTCATCCACTCATAGCAACTAGGTATAATATATAAACCTCATCAAAAAGTGTAATAAATTATCAAATTTGACATTTTTATGCAAAGTAAAGTTGCTACAAGCATTAGATATAAAAAAGCTTTTACTTTTGGAAATTACTCCAATATTTATTGAAAATGATCATTTTATAAGAGTCAATGAATTCAATATTATTTTTGTTTCTAAAATAGTTTTGTAGTATCATGTTATTCTCTTATTATTATAAATACTAATTGTGCACAACATGATGTCTTAAAATATGTATATACTGTAGAATGGCTCAAGCAAGCTAATTATCATGTGAATTATTTCCCATCCTTATTTTTTGTAGTGAAGACTAGTTAAAATCTGCTCTGCAATTTTCATTAATACATTGTTATTAATTATACTCATGATGTACAATAGATTGTAGTCATCATGCTGTACAATAGATTTCTTGGACTTATTCTTCCTGTCTAACTGAAATGTTTTATATATGTGTGTGTGTGTATATATATACATATATTTTAATTCTACTTTAGGTTCTGGGTACATGTGCAGAACATGCAGGATTGTTTCATAGGTACATACATCACAATGTGGTTTGCACTCTTTCCTGTTTCCAGTAGTTCCTGGAGCAGCCAAAATCATCTTTTATGCAAATATTCTAAATGCATCTGAAATAAGTTCACTTATACTTAGTCTTAATTTCAAAAATCATTTTCTTTATACTCATGAAGTCTCCTGATATTAATACATTTCCTAAATTCAGCAGTTCAGCCTTCTTGCCATCTCTTCACCCACTTTTGCCAAAACCTACACGTCAAAGGAATAATGTGTAATCCGATTCCCATGAAAACAAATTAAACAAAATATTTAAATCACCAGACTTCTTTTCTTATTAATAACCAAATATATATTATATATATAAATTCTTATATATATTAATATATATATAAATAATATATATAACATATATAATAATATGTATTATTTATATATATTTGGTTGGTTATTAAGAAAATATATATATTTGGTTGGTTAATAAAAGACATGTATGTGTGTGTGTGTGTGTGTGTGTGTGTGTAATGATTGCCAAGATTATTGGAAGTTGCCCTTTTAGTACTCAAGAAATGCATTCTTTGATTCCTTTGTTTCTAAAGCTAGTTTGATATTATATACCATAGGGGCTTCTCAGGTCCTTTTATGAAATAACTACCTCAGCAAACACAGCTTTCCTAATGAAAAAATAATCAATTTTCTCGATTAAAGTGCATCCCAATATGCTAACTGATGTGAACAAAGCACGTATCATTGATGTGCAAAACTTCCAGGGAGAAGAAATGGAATCCTGTCAGTCACCCTCCTCCTTCTAACTTCTGCTTTCCGTAAAGTGACTTCCCATATGTCTTCTCATTAGAAACCTCCAAATTACCTCACTGGCTTTCTTTGTTTATACCTGCCCAATTTGGCATACACTCTTTTTCATTCATTAATCTAATATCCATATTGGTGGACTCCATTCTCAGCCCTTTACACTTATTTCTTCATTATTCTCATCACCACTATATTGTGAAATCTGTACAATCCCATTCTCACACATGTGTATATAAGGTTTTTCTTTATTAAAATGTTAACTGTGTCAGATACTTGACTAATGTGTACAAATTCCTTCCTCACTAAAGTAGCCCCATGGCCTCCTCTCTGCCATAGACACACTGTTGCACAGATGTTCTTCACTCACATCAGTTTGTTTATCTATTGTCTCTCATTTTGTCTTTATGTTTTTGCTTCATATTATGAGTTATGATCACAGGCTCAGCAATCTATCTCACTTATTTTCCTCTCCAGGAAACATTACTGAGCAGTAAATTAGAATCTTCCAGGATATAAACACTTTTATGTACACGAGGCCTTGAGGCGCTATTTTATGTTTATGCATAACCCCACTATTTCTATGCCTTCCAGAGAAATAGGCTCTGGAATTTTACTGAACATAACCTATTTAAAACTTCTTTAACTACAATGACACCATCTTTCCTCGATGCACCAACATCTTCAGAAATAACGTGTGAAGATTTGAAAACATGTCAGTAATTGACATGAAAAATGAAGCATTGGCATAATTTTTTACAGATATAAATAAGACAAGCTGAGATCTGTAGGAGAGCAGAGTGCCATTAGACAGGAAATAAATATGGAATAGAAATATTTTCATTTGTAATGAAAAGTCTTAACAGTTTTCAGAAGAGGAAAAAATACACACACACACACACACACACACCCCAGAGCAATACAGCTTTACAGGGCTTTTCTTCATCAAGGGCCTATTTGTCATTTGACATCAGGTAATGGTTTATAGGGATCAAAGGAGTTCTAAATTGTGACCTGAGTAGTTTAGAGTTTAATACTGAGGAAGGGGAGCCAAGAGGACAAGTAACACTTTTACCATTGGCCATTTCCATTCCTACTGTCATTCTCTGAAAAGCACACAATAGAGTTTCTAAGAGTCATGACGTGTCAGAATGACATGGTTTAAGGGGTAAACAGGTGCAATCAACACAGCCATGGGAGAGATACTTGATACTTGGAAACAGATTCTACCTATTATCTATGAAAGTGCATGTATCTTGTAAAATATTTTTAATGTGCATTGCAGTGATTTAAAAGTAAAAAATATTAATTCAGGCTGTTGGTTACCTGTCAGTAATGAATGGTAGTAGAAGAAAAGATTCTAAGGCCAAAGCAACTCAGAATCATTGTTTTTAAACACTGTATCTACCAAAGAGTTAAAAAAGAATGATGAATGACTTTACTCATTTCTAATCAGAGATAAACACACACACACATACAGAAACTCAATCCAGCAATCAAAAGATGTGGTTAAGTAAAGATTCTCAATGTAACAACACTGACACAAAAGAGTTGAAGTTCTAAAACAATTGTAATGTCAGCAGGTATAGCTTTTCTCAAGATGAAGAAGAGAGAAGAGTATTGCAGTCCATTTTGAAACACTGAAAAGTTTTATGTTTTCAAAATACACCTCCTCGAATCCCTAACATGCACAGGAATTCAAAATTGGGATCTTTAGATGACAACTTAAAAGGAAAAGCATTTGGGCTAGAGCTCACGGAGAGAAAATGTCTGCCTTATGCTTTAAATATCATTTTATAAACAAAGATATTAACAAGAACATTAGCATATTTACATCAAATCCTTCCATCCCATTTGGGAAAAAGTGAGAATAAAAAACCTATGAGAATTTTCAATATTTTTGAATACATTTTCCAGAATGAAATTTGTAGTGGCAAATTTACCTTCTCTGGAAGTTGGCGAATCCACCCTTCCTACGACTCTAGTTGAAATGTGATCTCTGTCTTTCACAGTATGCTGAATGGGTTTGACAACATAATGATTAACATTTCATGTATATATCACAGAGCATTTTATTAATAATTAAAGAAAATATGTATGTTTACCATAAATGAAGGTGGTTGCTCAGGAGACACTACAAAAAAAAAAAGGAACACATAATTGACTACAGGTAAATATGACACAGCCTACCATCTATCATGCAGTGTTTGTATCCAGCTGAGATCTTTTGGCTTGGCCTTGAAATTGTTACCCATTAGGCTTTGGGTTGCTTTGCTCTTGTTTTGGTTAGCACACATATGACAGAAATATACACATGAAGATCACAGTATAGATTCTATAAAACGTGCAGTCCAGATTGCAAGTGTGAGATTAGGTTTCACATGACTACAAGTAATATAGAAAAGTACTTCTACCAATGTGAATCTGATGAATGAAACCAAAAAAAGTTATGTCAAACGAGAGGACCAAATAGGGCCCCAGAAGGATAAATGTCAAAAGTCCATGGTAGGATGCTAGGGCATGCCTTTAAGAAATCAGACACAAGAATCACTTAAACTATTATATTACAATTGTTATTCTGTCCTTCATTTTGTCCTTTAACTTAGAAACTATGAAGTTGAGATGAGAGTACATTAAAATGTATCATTTACTTCTGTTTGCAGAAAGTGTTCTCAATTATTAGTTTAGATATCTACTTGAAGAAGAATAGTTTATAAAAACACACATGTTCATAGTCATGAAGGCTTCTGGTATTTTCAAATTGCCTGGACTCTCAACTTTCATTCTCTCGGCATCTTTTCATTCACTTATGCAAAAAAATGTATACAACACACATCAAATAAATAATAAGTACTCAAATTTCCATATTAAAAACTCTAACCAAAATCTGTTAACTATCACTGATTGTTATGTTTTTTTCATAACAATCAACTTTTTTTTTTGTGGTTGAGACAACGGTTCACTCTGTTGCTCAGGCTGGAGTGCAGAGGTGCAATCTGCGCTTACAGCAGCCTCCACTTCCCAGGTGCAATCAATTCTCCTGCCTCAGCCTCCCAAATAGCCGAGACTACAAGCATGTGCCTGGCTAATTTTTTGTATTTTTAGTAGAGATGGGGTTTCACTGTGTTAGCCAGTGTCGCTTTCTTGACCTTGTCATCTGCCTGCATTTGCCTCCCAAAGTGTTGGGATTACAGGCGTGAGCCACTGCACCCAGCCTAATCAACTTCTATGTATCAAAATCTTAGCCATGATTATTGACAGTCACACTTTTAGTACTCAAGAAATAAACTTGTTTGGTTTTTTCTAAAGTCAGTTTGATATGCTATAGCATAGCAGTCTCAGGTACTTTTAAAAAAATGGCTATTTCAATAAAAACAGCATTTTTTCTTTTTTTTGAGACGGAATTTCGCTGTTGTTACCCAGGCCGGAGTGCAATGGCGCGATCCCAGCTCACCGCAACCTCCGCCTCCTGGGTTCAAGCAATTCTCCCGCCTCAGCCTTCCGAGTAGCTGGGACTACAGGCACGCGCCACCATGCCCAGCTCATTTTTGTATTCTTAGAAGAGACAGGGTTTCACCATGTTGACCAGGATGGTCTCGGTCTCGACCTTGTGAACCACCCGCCTCGGCCTCCCAAAGTGCTGGGATTATAGGCGTGAACCACCGCGTCCGGCCCAGTAAATTATTTTCAATGCTAATTGCTTATTTTTGTGATATTGTCAGGATGTATGTTGCAAAAGTAATTCTACTAGATTGTGAGTTCCATGAGAGCTAAGAGCAGGAACTGCATTGTTTACCTGGTTGAAACCTGAGGTAGATACTTCAAGTAGATACTTTCCTGCTCTTAGCTCACAATCTAGAGTACTTGATTGAGTTCCATGAGAGCTAAGAGAGCTAAGAGCAGGAAAGTATCTACTTCAAGTTTCGGCCGGGCACGGTGGCTCAAGCCTGTAATCCCAGCACTTTGGGAACCCGAGGCGGGTGGATCACGAGGTCATGAGATCGAGACCATCCTGGTCAAAATGGTGAAACCCCGTCTCTACTAAAGATACAAAAAATTAGCTGGGCATGGTGGCGCGTGCCTATAATCCCAGCTACTCGGGAGGCTGAGGCAGGAGAATTGCCTGAACCCAGGAGGCGGAGGCTGCAGTGAGCCGAGATCGCGCCATTGCACTCCAGCCTGGGTAACAAGAGCGAAACTCCGTCTCAAAAAAAAAAAAAAAAGTTTCAACCAGGTAAACAATGCAGTTCCTGCTCTTGGCTCTCGTGGAATAACAATCTAGTAGAATTACTTTTGCAACATACATCCTGACAATATCACAAAAATAAACAATTAGCATTGAAAATAATTTACGGGGCCGGACGCGGTGGTTCACGCCTGTAATCCCAGCACTTTGGGAGGACGAGGCAGGTGGTTCACAAGGTGGAGACGGAGACCATCCTGGTCAACATGGTGAAACCCCGTCTCTTCTTTCTTTTTTTTGAGACGGAGTTTCACTCTTGTTACCCAGGCTGGAGTGTAATGCGCGATCTCGGCTCACCGCAACCTCCGCCTCCAAGGTTCAGGCAATTCTCCTGCCTCAGCCTCCTGAGTAGCTGGGATTACAGGCACGCGCCACCGTGCCCAGCTAATTTTTTGTATTTTTAGTAGAGACGGGGTTTCACCATGTTGACCAGGATGGTCTCGCTCTCTTGACCTCGTGATCCACCCCGCCTCGGCCTCCCAAAGTGCTGGGATTACAGGCTAGAGCCACCGCGCCCGGCCGAAATCCCGTCTCTTCTAAAAATACAAAAATGAGCTGGGCATGGTGGCGCGCGCCTGTAGTCCCAGCTACTCAGAAGGCTGAGGCGGCAGAATTGCTTGAACCGAGGAGGCGGAGGTTGTGGTGAGCCGGGATCGCGCCATTGCACTCCAGCCTGGGTAACAACAGCGAAATTCCGTCTCAAAAATAATAATAATAATACAAAAATTAGCTGGGCATGGTGGCGCGTGCCTGTTGTCTCAGCTACTCGGGAGCCTGAGGCGGGAGAATTGCTTGAACCCAGGAGGCGGAGGTTGCGGTGAGCCGAGATTGGGCCATTGCACTCCAGCCTGGGTAACAAGAGTGAAACTCCGTCTCGGGGGGGAAAAACAAACAAAAAATTTACGGGCTGGGCGCGGTGGCTCACACCTATAATGCCAGCACTTTGGGAGGCCGAGGCAGGTGGATCACGAGGTCAAGAGATGAGACATCCTGGTCAACATGGTGAAACCCCGTCTCTACTAAAAATACAAAAATGAGCTGGGCATGGTGGTGCACGCCTGTAGTCCCAGCTACTCGGGAGGCTGAGGCGGGAGAATTGCTTGAACCCAGGAGGCGGAGGTTGTCGTGAGCCGAGATCGTGCCATTGCACTCCAGCCTGGGTAACGAGAGCGAAACTCCATCTCAAAAAAAAGAAAAAAGAAAAAAAAAAAATTTACGGGCAGGTCACAGTCGCTCACGCCTGTAATCCCAGCACTTTGGGAGGCCGAGGCGGGTGGATCACGAGGTCAATAGATCGAGACCATCCTGGTAAAAAACAGCCAATGTTTTGATATCCAAGTGCCTCCCAGTTTGCTAATGAACATGAATGAAGCACATATCATTGATGTGTAACCCTTATAGAAAGAAGAAATGAGTTCCTGTGGTTTACTGTCATTCTTCTACCCTCTGCTTCTAGTAAGTTCTGAAGCAGCAATAATTTAATCTTCTCTTTGAGTGGGAATATACTGAGTCCACATAAAATGAATTCCCTCAAGTTTCCTTATCAGAAACCTCCAAATTACCTAGCCAGCTGCTTTCTTAATTTACAACATCCCATGTCACATTTTTTTTTTGTAAATCGAATGTCCATATCTCAACAATGAATATTATATTTTGGTCAACAAGTTTAACTGTTGACCAAAGTTTTAAGGAAAAGTATAAAATAAATTATATTTACTATTTAAAATTCATAAATTATATTTATAGTTTAATTTAAATTAGGTTTATAATTTAATGTAATTTACATTTAGTTTCAGATTTATTTTAAATTATAAACTACATTTTCAAAAATTATATTATTAAATCATAGAAAATTATTCAGCTATATTCAGTATCTCACCACCTTTGTTTTTTCTACACAAAAAATAACATTATCATTGTTTTATTGCTCTCGTTGAGCACTTTTTATAATACCAATACCATTTGCTTTTTTTCCAGTTGTTGGTAGTACTTTTCCTTCCTATTAAAAAAAAGAGAAAAAAGAAATCTTCAGAAACTGTTGTATTTATCACTCAGTCAGTAATTCAAGAAACATTTGCAGTGTCTACAAATTCATAGGGTCTACCTTAGAAAAATCTGATAATATGAATAAAATACTAATATTTTACTACATTGGAAATAGAAATATAGAAAAACAAAAGCAGAAAATAACATTCATTATTTCTGCAATTCAAGTCAATAAAATACAGTAACAGCACAAAGGCAATAAGGGTTATTTCTACCTGAAAAGCTCCTGAGACACTACGAATTTAGGGTCATATTTTTAAAATAGACGAGTGAAGATTTAAGAGTGTGAAGGGTTTCTATTTGGAGCAGCATGTGGAAAAAAAATAAGGCATGAAACAGCATAGCAAATAAGAAATATCACAATAATGTGGTAAAACTTGGACATAGAGAAAATGGGGTGGAGAGATAAAATGGGAGAAATAGGCCAAACCACAAAATATGTGTTATGTTAGAATGTAAATGTTTCCTTCATGTAACAAAGATCTAGTCATAAGCAGATGAGTTACCTCAAAGTAAACACATTTAAGAAAGGTCAGCCTGAAAGACATATATGTATAGATAGATGTGGGGAGAAGAAAGAAACAAAAAAGAACATTCCAAAAGTATAGGTCAGGCAGTCAATTACAGTAATGAGATATGAGAAGTGGTAAAAAATAGAAAATACAAAACTTGGTGCAACACTGGATTGGCAGTGTGAGGAAAATCTGGAGTGCAGTTTTTCTGCTTCAATGTTTCATTGCTACCTATGAGTTGTTAGTTACTAAAATTAAGAAGCCAATCAGCAGAGTATATTACAAAGAGTCAGGAAAGAATCTGGAAGGCATCAAGAACAATGTGTTTCAGTTTGAGACCTATCAAATTTGAGGCACAAAGGGGACTTAGTTGACTGAGCTGGGTAAATCCCTTTTGAGTAGAAATAGATGACCTAACTCAAAAAAACCCCATATGTTGTTGAGAAGATCAACATTTGTAAAATATACGAAACTGATAGGATTCAATAATTTAAACCACTGAAGTACTCTGAAGTTTTGGAAATAAAAACATTGAATTCAAATTTTCAATTATATATTTCTATGCTGGATTAATAGATAATAAATTTTCTTATACAGATATTTATTTCTGAAATATTATGGTTATATGCATTTTTAAACTCAAGGAAAACAGTTATCTAAACCAGTAATTCAAGGTATCATACGAAAACTCATTTATAAAAACCTATCTTACAAGTTTTTAACTTGTAGAAATGTTTATTTGATTATAGAATTATGAGGCATTTTAAGTACTACTAAAGAATAAGAGAGAAGTGTAAAAACCCCATTTTAAAGTTTATATGGCTTTCTGATTCTCCTGTAAATGATATACTAATAGCTCTAGTAGCCTACTTATGCCATAAAGATGACAGTTAAAAATCAGAGAAAGGATCAAGTAACATAATCATATGACTGTGCAAGCAGAAGACTTAGATGTCTTCAAATACACTATTACTGTCAATCAGGACCCAATACTCACACGAAGAGAGAATAAATTTATTTTAAAAATCAAGTCGGCCAGGTGCGGTGGCTCTCACACCTGTAATCCCAGCATTTTGGAAGGCTGACGCGGGAGGATCACTTGAGGTCAGGAGCTCGAGACCAGCCTGGCTGATAACCTCATCTCTCCTAAAAATACAAAAATTAGCCAGGTGTGGTAGCACACACCTGTAGATCCAGCTACTCGGAAGGCTGAGGCATTAGAACTGCTTGAACACCAGAGATGGAGGTTGCACTGAGCTAAGACTGTGCCACTGCACTCCAGCCTGGGCAACAAAGCAAGACTCTGTCTCAAAAAAAAAAAAAAAAAAAAAATCAAGTCAAGGACTGGGCACAGTGGCTCAAATCTGTAATCCCAGCACTTTTGGAGGCCAAGGCAGATGTATCCTGAGGTCAGTAGTTCAAGATCAGTCAGGCCAACATAGTGAAACCCTGTCTCTACTAAAAATACAAAAATTAGCGGGGTGTGATGGTGCACGCCTGCAGTCACAGCTACTTGGGAGGCTGACACAGGAGAATTGCTTGAACTTGGGAGGTGGAGGTTGCAGTGAGCCAAGATCAAACCATTGCACTCCAGCCTGGGTGACACAGTGAGATTCTTATCTCAAAAAAATAAAAATAAATAAAGTCAAAAGGATTCCTGAATTTTAGAGTAGAATAAATTTATGTGTAAGGTTTAACAGCTATAAATACTAAAGTTAATAAAGCTTCCAGAGAATAACAGAAAATGTCCCAAATGTGACAGATAGTTTTAAAAGTAAAAAGTAATATTCCAGAGATAATTTTGTGTACTCTGTTGGCAATATTTCTTTACTTATGATTCTATGAAAACAGGTAGTTTGTTTAGAAAACAATCATGAGTGTTGATTGCATTCATCTCATGTGTGTTCTTAAGTACAGATGTTAGCAGCACAAGGTAAGTCACATACAGATATTTCTGGACTATCTCCAGAAATAAGTAATAATTCATTTCTTTAAGAGGGTTGCAAGTTAAACTATATAATTTCTCATTCAATGAATATAAATTAAGAACCTCTTTTAAAAATAACCAGAAATTTTCATTTTTATTACTGAAAGTTAAAATGAATGCTTATTTATTTATTCTCAATTATAAAAAAGGCTAAAAAAGCTGCCAAGATTATGTACAAATAAAATAAATTAGTTAGGCAACTTATGAATATACCAAATCCTACTTTAAAAAACTTTTAACCAGAGTCAAAAATTTGATTCATTCAAAATCTGATAAGCCTAAACCAGATCTTACTTTGCCTTATCTATGAACCCAGCATTTACTACATAAAATATAAGACATCACTTTACTAAAATTTAATAAAGTGAGGATTAAATTTTCTTTCCATTTAGACTTTTAAAATTAATAAATAGATGCATATATCTTCAGTGTACATGTGATGATTTGATCCATCTATATAATCTAATGAGGGTAACAGGGATACGCATTGCCTTAAATATGTATCTTTTACTTAAACTAGAAATATTCAAATTATTATCTGCTAGGTGTTTTTTAATGTATAACAGAATAATGTTAACTATAGTCACCCATGAATTTTCTTTCAATCCTTTATTAAAATTACTGATAAGTCACTCAGAAGACTCTGAGCATGTTTTTATTACTTGGCTTTCTTTTCTTAATCTGTATTTAAAATAATTTCTATATTATAGAGACATTCTGCTTTCATTTAAACTCAGGATTTCTATGGTGTTTTTATGTGAATCTTTGTCATCCTGACTCTCTTATTCAGTCTCTGTGTTCTTACATCTTTCCCTTCCTCAACTTTGAATTTGCTGAGCTATTCTTTCAGGTTGCTTTCTACTTCTTTCCTTCCCTAATGACAAACTTGAGAATACTTTAAACCCACCACCTTTATGAATCTCAGTCCTGTGCATATATTTCCCTTGTTGTTACATTTGTTTTCTATTATTATCTTGAGAATTTCCATCCCTTTCTAGGATCCTTGTAATCATTATAAAGATAGGGAGATGGTATGTGAACAAAGAATAGGAAAAATATTTTCAAAATAAAACGATTTAAACTTGTAAAGCTAGAAATCATTAATAGATGAGGGTGAATTGGTAAACAGGAAAATATTCTGATTATTCTATGATAGCTTTTAAACACATCTTCATTTACCTTATCATTCTTTTGGATTTCAAACAAGGTTCCATTTTCAGTTTTTTCAATGCCATATGCAGCATGTACTACAGTGAAAACAAAAGTGAAGAGTAGATGAAATGCATATAATTAAGAATCAGGAAATAAGAACCATATGTGGTGGCTCATGCCTTTAAACCCAGCACTAAGGAAGGCAGAGGGAGGCAGATCACCTGAGGTTAGGAGTTCGAGACTAGCTTGGCCAACATAGTGAAACCCCATCTCTGCTAAAAATACAAAAATTAGCCAGCTGTGGTGGTGTGCACCTGTAATCCCAGCTACTCAGGAGGCTGAGGCAGGAGAATCACCTGAACCCAGGAGGTGGAAGTTACAGTGAGACAAGATAATGCTACTGACCTCCAGCCTGGGGAGCAGAGTAAGTAAGACTCAGTCTAAAAACAAAAGAAAAGAAAACAAAACAAAACAAAAAAAGAATCAGTAAATAATAAAATAGGCAGGCTTAAATAGCTTACAATTTTCTAAAGAATCTTCATAAGGAATCCTCTTTATTTCACATGGTTTTACAATAATCTAGAAGAAAAACAGTCAATTTAGGAATAACATGCAGCAAGTTAAAATAATTACAACAGCTACCATTACTACATGATCTAACACAAAATGTAGAAGTTAAGTCACACATATGTAGATTCAAATCTTGAGTCTGCCATTTACTTATCTACATATTCTAATGCTGTGATGATTATGATTGGTGGTACAGACACAATGTTACTCCTTTCAACCCTAGTTGATTATTATATAAATACTATGATACTCATTAGTTTCATTTCCTATCCAAAACAACCTAGGACAAAAATTTACTTGTATATAATTTAGAGTATTACTGAATAAAAGTAATAATACAAAAGTAAATTAGCTACATTATTTTTCAAAATATGTATGCATTATATCTATCTGTGTGAATTACATTTTGTGGGAATAAAATGTGAGCCTGTGGTTTTTAGTAGTCCTATATTTAAATCGGTTGGCATTGGAAACAGTACAAGTTGCTTGCATTCTCTGTTAAAAGCTAAGAAAAAATTATTGTATAACTTCAGCTCCTTCCAAAAAAGAGAGAACAAAACAACCAACCACCTTACAGAGCAATGATTAATGAATGAAAGCCACACAGAGTTGCTAAAGAGAAAGCTGTAATAAGAATGCTGATAATAGAAACAGAGGTGAAATGAGAAACAGACACTAAAGACATGTGTTCTGCAAGGAAAAAGTTAAGACTGAGGTAAATCATTGTTAAGCAAAGACGAAGGACAGAGAAACAAACAAAAAAAGAGACATGACCAGTCAATCAAATGTGAGCTTAAAAGAAAAGCTTGTGTTCGTAATATAAGCCCAATAATACCGGGTAGCACTTACGCTACAATTTGTTTTGTGTCAACACTTATATAATAAAGAGTTTAGTTCCTTTATTATAAAATAAGACATCCCAAGAGTTAAACATGGTCATCCACCTGAAAGCTGAAACATTCTTACTACAGAGAGAGAGAAAGAGGAAAAGAAAGTACCATCAACTTTCCACCTGGAGAAAGAATTTGTATTCACAATTCCAAAGAGTAATGCATGTCTTGAAAAATATATGTTTAATAGAACATAATTGGGGCTTTAAAAGTTTAAGAAAATTTAATCTAAAACCCTAATCTACGCTTCCAGTTGGAAGATATTAGAAAACATGCTGTATCCACCTTTCCTATTTCCTATCCATCTTTTCTAATTTTTATTTTCTTCCATATGACATATTTTTTAAACAGAAGTAACGTGAATTTACACATTGTCAACCTTAGAAGAAAAGATAAACTAAAAACATTCCAGAAATTTAACAGATTCAATTATTAGCTATATTATGCATATGTGTTAACTATAACACTCCATTATATAAAGGCCAATTTGCCTGTTCATTTATATACATTGAAACTGTTATAATGTTTTATAGAAGCGAGATCTTATTCTAGGTATTCCAGGATACATACAAATATGTTCTGTATTTCAAGTGGCTCATAGTAATGTGGGAGCTTTACAATTATTTTTTCAAGAACAAAGCACAAAAGCCTCTGAAATTTGAAGTGTAGAATGAGATACCAGTACCCTGAGTGGATATTCTTTAAAATTATAATGTAAAAATCTTGTGAAATTGAAGTCTTACCATAAGAATATGGAGAGTCTCTGCTTATCAAACAGGTTCTTTTTTTTTTTAATAACAAAATGCATATTCTTCAAAGAGATTAAGAGTTTAAAGTATTTAAATTTTATATAGACTTAATTTAACGAAGACTTAGAAAACACAGTGTAATCCCTTTGTAATACAGATTTCAGAACAGAACTTAAATTTTTAATCTCCCACAATTTCTCTTTAATTAGAGATAAGGTCTTGCCAAGCTTGGTCTTAAGCTCCTGGACTCAAGCAATTCTCCTAGCTCCATCTCTTCAATAGTTGGAACTACAGGCACATGATACCATGTCTAGCTAAATTTCCACAATTTCTGATCTTATTTTAGTCTAATTATAGAACCAAAGATAAAAATAAAGAAATAGCTCTATGCAAAAAAAAAAATAAAAAAAAACTGTATGTTATCAAAATAAGTGTACAAGAAATTAAAAGAAATGATATGCTATGTGTAACAGGGTGATTCCATGATTCCTATAATAAGTCATCTCATCTATTAAAGGTTCATTTAAACAGAACTAGTATTAGTCATACTCAAATTCTTTACAACTCAAAGTAAAGACACTTACTCAAATAAGCCTAGACCAAAATTTGTGTTTCCGATATTGCAAGAAAGCATTCCCTAACACCATGTTTCTGTCACTATATATTTTCCAGCCCATTATTTTCAGATCCCAACTCTCAAAGTATTTATCAACTATTTCCTATTTGCCAAGTTAAAAAAAAATGAAAATTAACCCCTCCTATTTCTTTGAAATTGTTATCTCTAATAAAAATTTTTTTTTAATTTTTTATTGGATTATAGGTTTTGGGGTACATGAGCAGAGCATGCAAGACAGTTGCGTAGGTACACACATGGCAGTGTGCTTTCTTTTCTTCTCCCCTTCATCTCTAATAAAAATTTTAATACACACATAAAACAATGGTAGGTAGACAACTGCTAAATTTTAGAAGATAATATTATAAAACATGAGATTCAGAGTGAGAACATTAATTTCACAAGTAAGTGCTTTACCTCAGAATCAGGATCAGACTCATCCTCTGGCACAGGCTTTTCAACCGTATCTGGGCTCTGGAGATTCCTATACGGCAAAAAGATACAACAAAAATGAGCAGGTTCATATCTTAAAACAAAACAAAAACTGTCACTCTATACATCTATGTCCTTCCCAGAAAAAAATAATAAAACAGCCTGAGGAAGGCCAGTTACTTGTATATTAAATAATATTTCTTGATATAATTTAGATATGGTCTTGGTTTTAGAAAACATTTTAGTGACCTATTTCTGCCTCCACCTCTCCCAACCTATGAAATATCCAAGAACACTCACCCTTAAACCCATAACAAATACTGACAGAAAATACAATGGCACAGCCAAACAATACTTTGTCCTTAAAAATTATCTACCCTAAAGGCTAAACTGAAAATCCAATTGACATCTGACAGAACTTTTGCTACTGAACTGGAATAAATCTGATAACCTAAAACAAGGTAGAAAATGCACCGACTCTTCTCCATTATCTATTTCTGATTCAAAAACTAATCTGCATCACTGGAAAATAGGAGTCTTGGATCTTCAGCATGAAAGCTACTTAAAGAGTGCCCATTGCTTCTGTTTACCCTAGAACACTACACGGAGCCCCTGAAACACTGGACATGTTTGACAGCAGAGTGTACAAACATCAAAATACAAAGATTTATGTTGTTATTGGGAATATCCTTCAAATAAGATTAAAACAAACTTCTAAAATCCAATTACTATTATATTATAGATCCTGCCTTATTCGGGTCCACAAAAACCAACAAGATTAAAAACCTTCCACCAGGCACGGTGACACACGCCTGTAATCCCAGCAATTTGGGAGGTGCAGGTGGGCAGATCACACAGTCAGGAGTCCAAGACCAGACTGGCCAACATGGGGAAACCCCATCCCTACTAAAAAATACAAAAATTAGCTGGACATGGTGGCTTGTGCCTGTAATCCCAGCTACTTGAGAGACTGATGTAGGAGAATTGCTTCAACCAGGATCCGAGAGACAGGGGTTAAAGTAGCCAAGATAGCCCCATGCACTCCAGCCTGGGCTACAGAGCAAGACTATCTTAAAAAAAAAAAAAAAAAAACTTCATAGACACTCAGATACCCGAGAGACAGACCGCTGGAATACTTCCCCTCCTGAGTAGTTGTAGCTCCATTTCATTCAATACTATATAAATATCTTGCTTACCATAGGCTCCCACCTCAGGATCGGTCTTCTGCAGAGATCCATGGCAATTTCCAATCTATTTCCTCAGACAAGGAAAGCCCAGATTCATAAAAAGGCAAGCTAAAATAATTGAGATTAGGAGCTCTCTATTCCTCTGATGCTGGAAAGTCAGTCAGTCTCAGTCAACCACCCCAAGCATAGGGATGTAACAACTACCCAACTGAAGCTTCATTACCGATTTGCCAACAAATCCTACCATTGACCTAACCTACAGGTACATGAGAGAACTGAGAAAAGAGGCAAAAAAAACAAAAACAAAAACATCCACCCTGGGTCACAGATCTATACACTTAAGCAATCTCTACCTCGGGTCCTAAACCCTCAGTAAGCTTGGGAGGAAGAAGAGGATACCAACATTCATATCTTCTCCAGAGACACTTTACGGTGGCTCAAATTCTTTTAACATTTTTCAATAAAAACTTTAAAGTTTGGTAGTTCCTCCAGTTAAACAAACAAAAAGGCAGCAGCCTTTTCAGAACCCCCTGAATGCCCTATTTTAATATGCCTTTCTTCATAACTCCCAACATCCTGTGCTTCCAATCTCTCAAGTGTTTATTTCTCTTCAAATTTAGCTGTGCCCTGCAAATTCCGTTCTTATCCACTTTCATTGAGTTCAACAGCTCATTCCATGCTCATCCTCCTCCACTGTGTTCACTAGAGCCACTCCCTCTTTCTGTTATAAAAACACTCAATGACAAAATGATGTAAAAGAAGATTGGGTTTTGCATTAAGAAACCTGAGTGCACATCTCATTTCTGCCATTTACTATATCCAATCGAGTAATTTCATCTCTTTGAGTTTCAGATTCTCCACCTGAACAACCACTTAATCAGGATGGTAAACAGAGATTCAAGTACTAGAGGATATTTTGTTTAGTTTCCAGGATTTATTAAAATTCTGAAATTCTGTGCCCTTTTGATTTTATTTATTGGAAAATGGGGAATATTTAGCTACCATATATGAAAACAATAATAGAAAGGAATAAACCCTAAACAATGCAGAAGAGAAAATAAAAAGAATTCAATTAAAATATTATTTTAATGTCATAGAAAGAAAAAAAAATAAATCCAGAAAACAAGAAAAATCTTCATTGAACTAGGCAGGATACTCAAAGAGAAAACCAAACTGGGAAGTCAGTAAGTGGAGAAATGAATTAGAAATATCTTTTAAAATATGCTAAATATAGTTAACATAACACAGACTATATGTACATATTCTCCATGTACAGTAAAACAGTTTCTGTCTCGTACTTACCTGGTCTTGCTTATTAAAACCTAGGGTCCTTTTGCCACAGATAATTGATATTTGCCTTCAAAACTTTGATGGTTAAAGAACAAAAAGGTACTCTTTACTACTGTAATTTCCAAACATATTAGGACAAACTTTTCTAGTAGCCAAACTTCTAAGGAACATGCTAAAGAGAGTTAATATATAACACAATGTGACTTTCTGAATTTATCTGATATATGCCAGTACCTTGATCCCATTTCTGCATATGTCTCTATCCATCTATGTTTAGGGGCAAAATAAACGATTTGACAGTGAGACAGGATAATGGTCAAATCATGGTTTGGCTACTTGTTAACTATGAAATCATGAGCCAATATTACAATTTCTTTAACCGAAGTTGCCTAATTAGTAAAAAACCAATAATACCACAAATACTTTGTAAAGCTGTGGGAAGATAAAGTAAGATGATAAATGTCAAGCATGTAATATGGTGTCTAGTATAGAGTAGAACACTAAACAGATAGTAGTTTCTATTTGATTTACTTAGTTAACATATCATTTTTTAAAAATCTATGCAATCATACCTGTCAAAACACTCTTCAACAGGAGGAAGCACTACTGAAAAAATGTAAAATGCATTTTAAATCAACAGTGAAACAGGATAGAATATTAGAAACATAAAAGAACACAGGGGCTTATTCTTATAATCTCAGCTACTCAGAAGACTAAGACAGAAGTATCACTTGAGCAGCACAGGAGTTGGTGACCAGCCTGGACAACACAGCAAGATTCTATCTTTATAAAAATAATCAAACAGGCATGGCACAGTGGCTCAAGCCTGTAATCCCAGCATAATCTCAGCTACTCAGAAGACTTAGACAGAAGTATCACTTGAGCAGCACAGGAGTTGGTGACCAACCTGGACAACACAGCAAGATTCTATCTTTATAAAAATAATCAAACAGGCATGGCACAGTGGCTCAAGCCTGTAATCCCAGCACTTTGGGAGGCAGAGGCCAGTGGATCACTTGAGGTCAGAAGGTTGAGACCAGCCTGGCCAAAATGGTGAAACCCCATCCCTACTAAAAATAAAAAAATTAGCTAGGTGTGGCAGCACACACTGGTAGTCCCAGCTACTAAGGAGGTGGGGGCAGGAGAATCACTTGATTCCAAGAGACTGAAGTTGCAATGAGCCAAGACTGTGCCATTGCACTCCAGCCTGGGCAGCAGAAAGAGTGAGAATGTGTCTCAAAATAAAAAATAAATAAATAAATAAAAATGAGAAAAGAAAAAATAAGAATCAGTAAATCATTCAATATGCAGGCTCAAATAGCTTACAATTTTCTAAAGAATCTTCATAAGGAATCCTCTTTATTTCAAGTGGTTTTGCAATATTCTAGAAGAAGAACACAATCGGTTTAAGAATAACATGCAGCAAGTTAAAATAATTGCAACATCCATCATTACTACATGATCTAACACAAAATGTACAGGTTTTGAAATAACTCATGTTTAGATTCAAATCTTGAGTCTGCCATTTACTTATCTACATATTCCAATGACGTGATGATTATGATTGGTAGTACAGTCTCAAAATATTACTCCTTTTAACCCTAGTTGATTTTTATATACATACTATGATACTCATTAGTTTTTTTTCCTATCCACAATACCTAAGACAAAAATTTACTCATATATAATTTAGAGTATCACCGAATAAAATAATACAAAAGTAAATTAACAACATTATTTTTCAAAATATGTATGTATTATTTCTATCTGTGTGAATTACATTTTGTGGGAATAAAATGTGAGCCTGTGGTTTTTAGTAGTCCTATATTTAAATCGGTTGGCATTGGAAACAGTACAAGTTGCTTGCATTCTCTGTGTTAAAAGCTAAGCACAAATTATTGTATAACTTCAGCTCCTTCCAAAAAAGAGAGAACAAAACAACCAACCACCTTATAGAGCAATGATTAATGAACGAAAGCCACACAGAGTTGCTAAAGAGAAAGCCGTAATAAGAATGCTGATAATAGAAACAGAGGTGAAATGAGAAAACAGACACTAAAGACATGTGTTCTGCAAGGAAAAAGTTGAGACTGCGGTAAATCATTTTCAAACAAAGAGGAAGGACAGAGAAACAAACAAAAAAAGAGACATGACCAGTCAATCAAATGTGAGCTTAAAAGAAAAGCTTGTGTTCATAATATAAGCCCAATAATACTGGTTAGCATTTACTCTACAATTTGTTTGTGTCAATACTTATATAATAAAGAATTTAATTCATTTATTATAAAATAAGACATCCCAAGAGTTAAACGTGATCATCCACCTGAAATTTGAAACATTCCTACTACATAGAGAGAGAAAGAAAAAAAGAAAGTTCCATCAACTTCCCACCTGGAGAAAGAATTTTTATTCACAACTGCAAAGAGTACTGCATGCCTTGAAAAGCATACATTTAACACAATATAATTGGGGCTTTAAAAGTTTAAGAAAATTTAATCTAAAATCCTAATCTGTGCTTCCAGTTGGAAGATATTAGAAAACATGCTGTATCCACCTTTCCTATTTCCTATCCTTCTTTTCTAATTGTTATTTTTTTCTATATGATGAATTTTCTAAACAGAAGTCACATAAATTTACACATTGTCAACCTTAGAAGAAAAGATAAACTAAAAACATTCTAGAAATTTAATAGATTTGTTAGCTATATTATACATATTTCTTAACTATAACATTCTGTTATATAAAAGCCCATTTGTTTATTCACATTAAAGCCCTTACAATGTTTTTTTTTATATGCAAGGTATTATTCTAGGTATTCCAGGATACATACAAATATGTTCTCTATTTCAACTGGCTCATACTAATGCTGGAGCTTTACAATTATTTTTTCAAGAACAAAGACAAACTCCTCTGAAATTTGAAATTTAGAATGATACAAGGACCCTGATTACTTATTTTTTTAAAATTATAATGCAAAACCCTTGTAAAACTAAAGTCTTACCATAAGAATATGAAGAGTGTCTGCTTATCAAACAGGTTTTTTTAAATCAAAATGCATATTCTTCAAAGAGATAATGAGTTTAAACTATATTTTTAATTTAAAGAGGACTTAAAAAACACATTGTAAACCCTTTGCAATACAGATTTCAGAACCAAACAAATTTCAAATCTCACACAATATATATATATATATTTTTTTTAATTGCCTTTTAGGTTTTGGGGTACATGTGAAGAACATGCAAGATTGTTGCATAGGTACATACATGACAACACAGTTTGCTGCATTCCTCTGCATCACCTATATCTGGCATTTCTCCCCATGTTATCCCTCCCCAACTTCCCACCCCCTACTGTCCCTCCCCTAGTTCTCCCCCGACAGACCCCAGTGTGTGATGCTCCCCTCCCTGTGTCTATGTGTTCTTATTGTTCAACACCTGCCTATGAGTGAGAACATGCAGTTATTTTCTGTTCTTGTGTCAGTTTCCTGAGTATGATGATTTCCAGGTTCATCCATGTACCTACAAAGGACACAAACTCATCTTTTTTTTTTGCTACATAGTATTCCATGGTGTATATGTGCCACATTTTCCCTGTCTGGTCTATCATCGATGGGCATTTGGGTTGGTTCCAAGTCTTCGTTTTTGAAAACAGGGACGCAATTAACATTCATGTTCATGTGTCCTTATATTAGAATGATTTATAATCCTTGGGATATATACCCAGTAATGGCATTGCTGGGTCAAATGGAATTTCTATTTCTAGGTCCTTGAAGAATTGCCACACTGTCTTCTGCAATGATTGAACTAATTTACACTCCCATCAACAGTGTAAAAGTGTTCCTATTTCTCCATATCCTCTCCAGCATCTGTTGTCTCTGGATTTTTTTAATGATCACAATTCTAACTGGCATGAGATGGTATCTCAATGTAAATTTGATTTGCATTTCTCTAATGATGAGTGATGATGAGCATTTTTTCATTTTTCTTGGCCTCATATATGTCTTCTTTTGTAAAGTGTCTGTCGATATGCTTCACTTACTTTTGAATGGGCTTGGTTTTTTCTTGTATATCTGTTTTAGTTCTTTGAGATTCTGGATATTAGCCCTTTGTCAGATTAATAGATTGCAAAAACTTTTTCCCATTCTGTTGGTTGCCAATTCACTCTAACAACTGTTTCTTTTGCTGTGCAGAAGCTCTGGAGTTTAATTAGATCCCATTTGTCTATTTTGGCTTTTGTTGCCAATGCTTTTGGTGTTTTAGTCATGAAGTCCTTGCCTATGCCTACGTCCTGAATGGTTTTGCCTAGGCTTTCTTCTAGGGTTTTAAAGGTGTTAGGTCTTATGTTTGTCTTTAATCCATCTAGAGTTAGTTTTAGTGTAAGGTGTCAGAAAGGGGTCCAGCTTCTGCTTTCTGCACATGGCTAGCCAGTTTTCCCAACACCATTTATTAAACAGGGAATCCTTTCCCCATTGCTTGTTTTTGTCAGGTTTGTCAAAGATCAGATGGTTGTAGATGTGTGGCATTGCGTCTGAGGCCTCTGTTCTGTTTCAGTGGTCTATATCTCTGTTTTGGCACCAGTACCATGCTGTTTTGGTTACTGTAGCCTTGTAGTATAGTTTGAAGTCAGATAGTGTGATGCCTCCAGCTTTGTTCTTTTGGTTTAGAATTCACTTGGCTATGCGGACTCTCTTTTGGTTCCATATGAAGTTTAAGGTGGTTTTTTCCAATTCTCTGAAGATCATTGGTAGCTTGATGGGGATAGCATTGAATCTATAAATTACTTTGGGCATTATGGTCATTTTCACGATATTGATTCTTGCTAACCATGAGCATGGAATGTTTCTCCATCTGTGTCCTCTCTTATTTCCTTGAGCAGTGGTTTGTAGTTCTCCTTGAAGAGGTCCTTTACATTCTTTGTTAGTTGTATTCCTAGATACTTTATTCTCTTTGTAGCAATTGTGAATGGCACTTCATTCTTGATTTGGCTCTCTTTAAGTCTGTTATTGGTGTATAGGAATGCTTGTGGTTTTTGCACATTGATTTTTTATCCTGAGACTTTGTTGATGTTGCTTACCAGTTTCAGGAGATTTTGGGCTGAGATGATGGGGTGTTCTAAAAATACAATCATGTCATGTGCAAATAGAGACAAATTGACTTCCTCTTTTCCTAATTGAATACCCTTTATTTCTTTTTCTTGCCTGATTGCTCTAGCTAGAACTTCCAATACTAAATTGAATAGGAGTGGTGACAAAGAACATCCTTGTCTAGTGCCAGAATTCAAAGGGAATGCTTCCAGTTTTTGCCTATTCCGTACAATATTGACTATGGGTTTGTTGTAAATAGCATTTATTATTTTGAGATACATTCCTTCTATACCTAGTTTATTGAGAGTTTTTAGCATAAAGGGCTGTTGAATTTTGTCAAAGGCCTTCTCTGCATCTATTGAGGTAATCATGTGATTTTTGTCTTTGGTTCTGTTTATGTGGTGGATTATGCTTACACACTCGTGAATGTTGAACCAGGTGTGCATCGACGGGATAAAGCCTACTTGATCGTGGTGGATAAGCTTTGTGATTTGCTGTTGCAATCGGCTAGCCAGTATTTTATTGAAGATTTTTGCATCTATGTTCATCATGGATATTGGCCTGAAGTTTTCTTTTCTTGTTGAGTCTCTGCCAGGTTTTCATATCAGGATGATGCTGGTCTTGTAAAATGATGTGGGAAAAATTCCATCTTTTTGGATTGTTTGGAATAGTTTCAGAAGGAGTGGTACCTGCTCCTCTTTGTATGTCTGGTAGAATTTGGCTGTGAACCCATCTAAACCTGGGCTTTTTTTGGTGGGTGGGCTATTAATTGCTGCCTCAGCTTTAGCCCTTGTTATCAGTCTATTCAGGGTTTTGACTTCTTCCTTGCTTAGGCTTGGGAGGATGCAAGTGTCCAGGGATTTATCCATTTCTTCCAGGTTTACAGGTTTATGTGCATAGAGTTGTTTGTAGTAATCTCTGATGATGGTTTGTATTTCTGTGGAATTTGTGGTAACATCCCCTTTATTGTTTTTTTATTTCATTTTTTCAATTACTCTCTCTTTTCCTTTTTATTAACCTGGCTAGTGGTCTATTTTGTTGATCTTTTTAAAAAACCAGCTCTTGGATTTATTGATTTTTTGTAGGGTTTTTTTTTTGTGTGTCTCTATCTCCTTCAGTTCTGCTCTGATCTTAGTTATTTTTTGTCTTCTGCTAGCTTTTGAGTTTTTTTGATCTTGCTCCTCTAGCTCTTTCAATTATGACAATAGGGTGTTTATTTTAGGTCTTTCCTTGCTTCTCATGTGGGCAATTTTTGCTATAAATTTTCCTCTAGACACTGCTTTAAATGTGTCCCAGAGATTCTAATATGTTGTGTCTTTGTTCTCATTAATTTTGAAGAACATCTTTATTTCTGCCTTCATTTCATTGTTTATCCATTCAATTTTCAAGAGCCAGTTGTTCACAGTTTCCATAAAGCTGTACAGTTCTGTGTTAGTTTCTGAATTCTGAGTCCTACCTTGATTGCACTGCGGTCTGAGAGACAGTTTGTTATGATTTCCATTGTTTTGCATTTGCTGAGGAGTAATTTACTTCCAATTATGTGGTAAATTTTAGAGTAGGTATGATGTGGTGCTTAGAAGAATGTATATTCTGTGGATTTGGGAAGGAAAGCTCTGTAAATGTGTATTAGGTTTGCTTGGTCCACGTCTGAGTTCAAGCCCTGGATATCCTTGTTAATTTTCTGTCCATTGATCTCTCTAATATTGACAATGGAGTGTTAAAGTCTCCCACTATTATTGTGTGGGAGTCTAAGTCTCTTTGTAAGTCATTAAGAACTTGCTTTATGTATCTGGGTGCTCCTGTATTGGGTGTGTATATATTTAGAATTGTTAGCTTTTCCTGTTGCATTGAACCTTTTACCATTATGTAATGTCATTCTTTGTTTCTTTTGATTTTTGTTTGTTTAAAGTCTATTTTATCAAAGACTAGGATTGCAACTACTGCTTTGTGTTGCTCTCCATTTGCTTGGTAAGTCTTCATCCCTTTATTTTGACCCTATGTTTATCCTTGCATGTGACATGGGTTTCCTGGATACAGCACATTGATGAGTTTTGACTTTTTTTTTTTTTTGAGACAGAGTTTCGCTCTTGTTACCCAGGCTGGAGTGCAATGGTGTGATCTTGGCTCACCACAACCTCCACCTCCTGGGTTCAGGCAATTCTTCTGCCTCAGCCTCCTGGGTAGCTGGGATTACAGGCATGCACCACCATACCCAGCTAATTTATGTATTTTTAGTAGAGACAAGGTTTCACTATGTTGACCAGGATGGTCTCGATCTGTTGACCTCAAGATCCACCTGCCTCAGCCTCCCAAAGTGCTGGGATTACAGGCGTGAGGTTTTGACTTTTTATCCAATTTGCCAATCTGTGTATTTTGATTGTGGCATTTAGCCTATTTATATTTAAGGTTAATATTGTTATGTGTGAATTTGATATTGCCATTTTGATGCTAGCTGGTTGTTTCACCTGTTAGTTGATGCAGTTTCTTTATTGTGTCACTGCTCTTTACCATTTGGTACATTTTTGGAGTGGCTGGTACTGGTTGTTCCTTTTTATGTATAGTGCTTCTTTCAGGAGCTCTTGTAAAGCAGGCCTGGTGGTGATGAAATCCCTAAGCAACTGCTTGTTTTTAAATAATTTGATCTCCTTTGCTTATGAAACTTAGTTTGGCTGGATATAAAATCCTAGGTTAAAAGTTCTTTTCTTTAAGTATGTTGAATACTGGACCCCAGTCTCTTCTGGCTTGTAGGGTTTCTGCTGAGAGATCCACTGTGAGTCTGATGGGTTTCCCTTTGAAAGGGAAGTGATCTGATCTTTCTCTCTTGCTGCCCTTAGCATTGTTTCCTTCATTTCAACCCTGTTGAATCTGACGATTGTGTGCCTTGGGATTACTCTTCTTGTGGAATATCTTTGTGGTGTTCCCTGTAATTCCTGGACTTGAATGTTGGCCTGCCTTGCTAGGTTGGGGGAAATTTCCTGTATAAAATCCTGAAGAGTGTTTTCCAGCTTGAAATCATTTTCTCTGACAATTTCAGGTACACCTATCAAACGTAGATTAGGCCTTTTCACATAGTCCCATATTTCTTGGAGGCTTCGTTCATTTCTTTTTACTCTTTTTCTCTAATCTTGCCTTCTCATTTAATTTCATTGGTTGGTCTTTGATCTCTGATATCCTTTCTTCTGCTTTGTCAATTCAGCTATTGAAACTTGTGTATGTTTCATGAAGTTCTCATATTGTGCTTTTCAGCTCCATCAATTCATTTACATTTCTCTCTAAGCTGTTTATTTTCATTAGCATTTCATCAAACCTTTTTTCAAGGTTCTTAGTTTCTTTGCATTGGGTTAGAACATGTTCTTTTAGCTCACAGAAGTTTCTTATTACCCACCTTCTGAAGCCTGTTTCTGTCAATTCATCAGACTCATTCTTCATCCAGCCTTGTTCCCCTGCTGATGAGGAGTTGTGATCCCTTGGAAGAGAACAGGCATTTTGGTTTTGGGTGTTTTCATCCTTTCTGTGCTGGTTTCTTCCCATCTTTGTGGATGTATTTACCTTTGGTCTTTGTAGTTGGTGCCTTTCAGATGGGCTCTCTGAGTAGATGTGCTGCTTGTTAATGATGAAGTTATTTCTTTCTGTTTCTTAGTTTTCTTTCTAGGAGTCAGGGCCCTCTGCTGTAGGACTGCTGGAGGTCCACTCCAGGCCCTGCTTGCCTGGGGCTCACCTGCAGTGGCTGCAGAACACTAAGGGTTGCAACCAGGTCCTTCTGCTATCTTTGTTCCAGAAGGATACCTGCCAGATGTCAGTCTGAGCTCTCCTTTATGAGGTGGCTCTTTGGATATATGGGGTTGGGGAACTGCGTGAGGAGACAGTCTGTCCTTTATAGGAGCTCAAGTGCTGAGCTGTGATCTCTGTTGTTCCATTCAGAGCTGCTCAGCAGGTATGTTTAAGTCTACTGCAGCAGAACTCTTAACAGCCTTTTTTTCCCCCCCAGGTGCTCTATCCTGAAAAGGTAGGGCTTTATTTATAAGTTTCTGTCATGCTGCTGCCTTTTTTCAGGGATGTCCTACCCAGTGAGGAGGCAGTCTAGTCACAGTCTGCCAGCAGAGTCATTGCTGAGCTACTGTGGGCTCTACCCAGCTGCTGTGTGAACTTCCTGCAGTCCTGTTTATAGGAGTATAGTTAAAACTGCCTTGGCAATGGTGGCCCACCTCTGTAATGGCAGACTCTCTCTGTAAAGACAAACTGCCTCAGCAATGGTGGGCTGCCTCAGTAACTATGGATTGCCTCGGCAATGGTGGACTACCTCAGTAGGAGTGGACTGCCTTGGTAATGGCAGACACCCTCCCCCACGGAGATGGACCATCCTGGGTTCAGCCGTGCTTGCTGTGAAACTCTAAATGCAGAGCGTTTCAGATTGCTGCTCTTTGTGGGGGTGGGACCAGCCATGCCTGATCACCTGGCTCCCTGCCTCCCTTTTTTTTCAGTTGAAGAGAAAATTCTGTCTCCCAGGCACTTCAGTCACCAGTTGAAATGGCACTCAAATTGCACTAGCAGTTCGTGGCATTTTTTCACCCAGGAATCTCCTGGCCTGGCTCCCTGTTTCAGGCCCCTTTTTTTCAGTTCAGTGAGTGACTCTGTCTCCCAGGAGTTCCAGTTGCCAGTTGAAAAGGCACCCAGATTTGTGTGAGATTTTGTGCAGAAACCCACTGTGCCAGCTGAAACAGTCACACTAGAGGCACTTTTCCACCCAGGAATCTCCTGGCCTGGCTCCCTGTTTCAGTCCCCTTTTTATACAATCTGAAGAGAAACCAAAGTATCAGCCCCCTTTTTATCAGTTGAATGGGCAACACTGTCTCCCAGGAGTTGCAGTCGCCTGTTGAAAAGGCACCTGGACTTGTGTGACATTTTGTGTGGAGACCCGATGTGCCAGCTGAAACAGCAGTGCTGGAGACACAAGGTTCTTTTTTACCAGGGAATCTCCTGGCCTAGCTCCCTACTTTGGTCTCCTTTTTATCAGTTGAATGGGTGACTCTGTCTCCCAGTCACTACAGTAGCCAGCTGAAATGGCACCCCAAACTCACGTGTTTTCCTGTGTGCAGACCCACTATGTTGGCTGAAACAGCCACGTTGGAGAACTGTGGAGCTACTCCGCATGAACATCTCCTGCTCTGTGGGCAATAAAAATCTATCTGGAAATGCAGCGACCACTCACCCTCCATGATCTCACTGGGAACTACAGTGAGCTGCTCCTACTCGGCCATCTTGGATCCCCTCCACAATTAGAGATAAGGTCTTGCTATATTGCCAAGCTTGGTCTTGAGCTCCTGGACTAGCAATTCTCCTAGCTTCATCTCTTGAATAGCTGTGACTACAGGCACATGTTACCATGTCTAGTTAAATTTCCACAATTTCTGATATTAATTTAATCTAATTATAGAACCAAGAATAAAAATAAAGAAATAGCTCTCCACAAATAAACGTATGATATAAAATAAGTGTATGAGAAATTAAAAGAAATTATAAGCAATGTGTAACAGGGTGATTCCATGATTCTTATAAGTCATCTGATCTATCAAAGATTCATTTAAATGGAAGTATTATAATGCATACTCATATTATTTACAACTCAAAATAAAGACACATACTCACATGAGCCTAGACCAAAATTCCTATTTCCTCTATTGCAAAAAAGCATTCTCTAACATCATTTTTCTGTCACTATATATATTCTAGCCCATTATTTTCAGATCCAAACTCTCAAAGTATTTAACAACTACTTTATTTTTGCCAAGTAGAAAAAAATAAAAATTAACCCCTCCTATTCCTTGGAAATGGTTCTCTCTAATAAAATTTTTACTATAAACATAAAAAAAGATAGGTAGACAACTGCTAGATTTAAAAGATAATAATATAAAAAATGAGATTTAGAGTGAGAAAATTAATTCTACAAGTGAGTAATTTACCGTGTAACCAGAATAAGACTTATCCTCTGGCACAGGCTTTGTACAACCAACCGGTCTCCTGAAACACCTACAGAGCAAAACAATACAACAAAAATGAGCAGGTTCATTTCTTAAAACAAAACAAACACTGTCAGTCTATACATCCACGTCCCCTCCCAAAAAATGGTAAAACAAACTTTGAGGAAGGTCAGTTACCTGTACATTAAATAATATTTCTTGATATAATTTAGATATAACCTCTGTTTTAGAAAACATTTTGGTTCCGTATTTCTGCCTCCACCTCTCCCAACCTATGAAATGCCCAATGAACCCTCACCCTTAAACTCATAACAAATACTGACAGGCAATACAATGTCAGAGCCAGACAATAATTTGTCCTTATAAATTATCTATCATAAAGGCTAAACTGAAAATCAAATTGATATCTGACCGAACTTTTGCTACTGAACTGGAGTAAATGTGATAACGTAAAGCAAGGTAAAAAATGCACTGTCTCTTCTCCATTAACTATTACTGATTAAAAGACAAATCTATGTCACTGGAAAATGGAAGTCATGGAACTTCAGCATGTAAACAGTGCACATTAATTCTGTTTGACCTAGAAGACTGCACAGAGCCCCCTGAAACACTAGACATGTTCAAAAGCTGAGTGTGCAAAAATAAAAATACAAAGGTTTACATTGTTATTGGGAATATCCTTCACAGAAGATCAAAACATAGAAAATTATAAAATTCAATTACTGTTATTACATAGATCCTGAATTATTCAGGTCCACAAAAACCAGCAAGATTAACAATCTTCATAGACACACAGACACCCAAGACAGGCTGCTGGAAAAGTCTCCCTACTGAATAGTTATAACTCCATTTCATTTATTACTATCTAATTATCTTCTTTCCCATAGGCTCCCACTTCTGGATCCCTCTTCTGCAGGGATTTATGGCAGTATCCTATCTATACCTTCAGCCTATGGAAGCCCAGATTCCTAAAAAGACAAGCTAAACTAATTGAGATTAGGGGTTCTCTATTACTCTGCTGCTGAAAAGTAATTAACTCTTAGTCAAACACCCCAAATATACGGATGTTACCAACTACCCAAGTGAAGCTTTATTACCAATTTACCAACCAATCCTACCTTTGCCCTAACCTATGGGTACATGAGAGAATTCAACAAAGAGGCAAAAAAAAAAAAAACTGACATCCACCCTGGGTCACAGATCTCTGTACTTAAGGAATATCCAGGTGGCTCACTCATAAGGGGTTCTAAGCCCTCTGTTAGCTTGAGTGGAAGAAGATGATACCACATTCCTATTTGCTCCAGAGACTCTTTCCAGTGGCTCAAATTCTTTTAACATTTTTCAATAAAAACTTTAAAGTTTGGTAGTTGCTCCAGTTAAACAAACAAGAGGCAGCAGCCTTTTCAGAACCCCTTGAATGCTCTATTTTAATATGTCTTTCTGGATAACTCCCAACATCTTGTGTTTCCAACTTCTTAAGTGTTTATTTCTCTTCAAAATTAGCTGTGCCCTGCAAATTCCATTCTTACCCACTTTCATTGAGTTCAACACTTATTACATTCTCATGCTTTTGGCTGAATTCACTAGAGCCACTCCCTCTTTCTGTTATAAAAACATGCAATGACAAAATAATGTAAGAACAGCCTGGAATTTAAATAAAGAAATCTGAGTTCAAACCTTATTTCTGCCATTTACTATATCCAACTGAATTATATTCTCTTTCAGTTTCAGATTCTCCACCTGAACAACCACATAATCAAGATGGAAAACATAGATTCAACTACTACAGGATATTTTATTTAGTCTCCAGGATTTCATAAAATTCCAAATTCTGTGCCATTCTGATTTTGTCTATAGGAAAATGGGGTATATTTAACTACCATACACAGAAACGATGATAGAAAGTAATAAACCCTAAGCAATGCAGAAGAGAAAGTAACAAGAAATCAAGAAAATATTATTTAAACGTCACAGAAAAAAATAATAAATCCAGAAAACAAGAAAAAGCTTCATCGAACTAGGCAGGATACTCAAAGAGAAAACCAAACTGGGTACTCAGTAAGTGGAGAAATTAATTAAAAATCTCTTTTCAATATATGCTAAATATAGTTAAAATATCATAGGCTATATGTAGATATACTCCATGTACAGTAAAATGATTTCTCTCTTGGACTGACCTGGTCTTGCTTATGAAACACTTAGGGTCACTTGGCCACAGAAAATTGATATCTGCCTTCAAAAAATTGATTGTTAAACAAAAAGAAAAAAAAAAAAACAGGTACTGGCTACTAGTGTAATTGCCAAACATATTAGGACAAACATTTGGAGTAGCCAAGATTCTAAGGAACACTCTAAAGAGAATTAATATATAACAAAATGTGACTTTCTGAATTGATCTGATTTAAACCACTACCTTGATCCCACTGCTGCACACATCTCTCTCCGTATCTGCTTAGGTGCAAAGTGATTTGAAAAGCCAGGCAGGATGCTTAAAAAATCATGGGTTGGCTACCTGTTAACTATGGAATCATGAGCCAAAATTTCAACCTATTTGAACCAGAGTTGCCCCATGAGTGAGAAAGCTATAATAGCACCAATACTTTGTATAGCTGTATGAAGATGACACGAGATGGTAAATGTGAATCAGGTAATATGATGTCTAAGATAGACTACTACACTAAACAGATACTAGTATCTATTCTCTTTATCCATTTAGTTAACACATCACTTTAAAAAATCTGTGAAATCATACCTGTTTAAATGTTCGTCAATGGCAGAATGCACTTAAAAAAAAACAAAACGTATTTTAAATCAACAATACAAAACTATAGAATACTGGAAACATAGAAGAACACAGGGGCTTGTTCCAATAATCTCACTCAGAAGGTTGAGACAGAAATATCACTTGAGGAGCCCAGGAGTTTGAGACCAGCCTGGGCAACAGAGCATAATTCTATATTTATAAAAAATAATCATGCAGGCTGCTTGTGGTGGCTCAAACCTCTAATCCCAGCATTTTGGGTGACCAAGGCAGGTGAATCACTTAAGGACAGCAAATGAAGACAAGCCTGGCCAACAACATGAAACCTCGTTCCTACTAAAAATACAAAAGTCCGTAAGCTGTGGTGGCCCACACCTGTCATATATAAATTTCTAAAATACTCAGTGTAAATAGCAATGTGGATATGCCGAGTGATGAGAACCAATGTGATCTAAAACCAGAGGAGCAAATCAGACACCTGGGAATTAATGTCAAAGCAGGTGGCACTACTCCCACACGTCTTTCATTCAACACATCAGAATTTATACCACTGGACTACAAATATTCCTCATGCTCTTTAACTTGCCCAATAACTGAGAAGGTACACAATTACAATGACACTTCAGTTGAATGTATACTTCATGTCTACAGGGAAGGGTCCTAAATAGATCAGCTTGGATATAAGTTGGGTGAATACTTGTAGATAATATCCATTATTTCTCAAACCCTTGTGGTGAAATGACTTTCCTACATTGAGGGAATCCTCTACTTGAGCTTGCTGAAAGTTTCTTCACACACTCATGCAACACGGTAAGACACATAGGCCTCAATAAACAGTATCATCCTTTATCAGTTTTGACATACTTCTACTAAATAAAACTGCTACAAGCATTAGATATGAATCAGCATTTACATTCAGATATCACTCCAATATTCATTGAAATTAACCATTTTTGGAGTCAGTTAATTAATTCAACATAATTTTTGTTTCTAAAATAGTCTTCTTTGAAATGTCAATTTCTCTAAAGAAATTTAATTAAATAGCTATTTTATTCAAGAGTTAGCTCCTTGACCAATGGAGCCAATCTATTCATATTCAAGTTTATCTTATTTCAATAATTGAAATGAACAAAACATCTATCTCTGATGCCTAATAGCAACAAAGAAGGGTAATGAGTCACTGCAATTTATCCCAATTCTAGCACTCTTTCCTGTTTCCAGTAGTTTCTGGAGCAGGCAAAATAAAATCTTCTTTTACGCAGATATTCTACATAAATCCAAAGTGAGTTCATTCACGTTTCCTCAGCAGAAACCCCTAAATTACATACATAACCTTTCCTTTTCCCTCTTTGCTGCCTCACAATCCCTCTTCCTTGGAGAAAATAATTATTACATCAGTGGTCTCATTAGTTCTCTCATTCTACAGTGTTTATGGGTTATTGCAATCACTTCATCCCTCTGGTTTCAGCAATACAACCTGATGTCTATCATTTCTATTACTACATCTCTTTATCCCTTCCTTCCAGAAGAAAACATGCTGTAGAATTAAAGTAAAATCATGCTGTCCCCTGAGCTGCCTATGTCTTGAATTGCTCTTCAGAGGTCCTTCTATTTAATTTGACATAAAGAAGTTTACAATCGTACTACTCAGATCACCGACAAGGACCCGCAGCATCAGTGGCACCAAATAACTTATTATAAATGCAGAATCTCAGGCTTCCTGAATCAGAATATGCAGTTTCATCGAGCCCCCTACTGATTTATTTGGGAAGAGAAGTTCCCTTCTATCTTGCATTAACCTGATATTAAATGTGTATGGTAAAATTACCTGTCCCAGATTTTGATCCATCCTTTATTTCTGGGGCTATATTCAAAACAGAATCTTTCTTGTCACTTGTAGCCTGAATCAGATTTGAAGCACAATAATCAGCACATAACGTCTATTTCACAGACTACACAATTAATAGTTCAAAATACAAATAGGAGTGTAATTACCTTCAAGGCTGGTTGTTTCTGAGAAGACACTGAAAAGAAAAAGGGATACATAATAAATCATATGTAAATATGATAAAGATATCCATATATTCATGCACTGTTAGCATCAACCTGTATTTTCCTGCCTGTATTAGTGTGGGCTTTGAGGTTTTATACTTTGTGCCTTGGGACAGAAATATGACAAAAACACACTGAAGAAAACAGGAATATAGGCGTCACAAATTCCAACATGATATAATTTGACATATAACTATTTCTAAAATAAGAGAATATCAATATCAATATCAATGTGCAAATCCTTAGTGATGATGACCAATGTGATCTACAATCAGAGGAGCAACTCATACACCTGGGAAGCAATGTCAAAGCAGGTGGTACATACTCCCTCTTATATTTCATGCAAGACACCAGAAGGATTTATACCATTATACTACAAACATTCATCATGCTCTTTCACTTGCCCGATAATGGAGAAGGTACACAATGACAATGACACTTCAGTTAAATGTACAGCTCAGGTCTCCTCAGTGGAAGTGTCCCTAATTGATCAGCTTGCATATATGTTTGGTGAATCCCAGTAAATAATATTCCTTATTTCTCACATTCATGTGGTGTACTAATTAGCCTGTGTTTCTTCTATCCTGTTGTTTAGTTTTCCAAAAGTTTCATCATCCATGACAACAAGGTATTATATAAAATCCTCAATAAAAAGTATCATCGATTGTCAATTTTGACAAACTTCTATAAAATAATACTGCCTCATTAGATATTAATATGCTGTCACGTTCAAAAATCACTCCAATATGGATTGAAATAACCCATTTTAAAGTGAATTAATGAACTCAACAATACTTTCATTTCTAAAAGTCTTCTTTAAAATAGCATATTATTCTCTAAAGAATTTTGATTAAATAGCTATGTGTTCCAAGAGTTACCTCCTTGAACAACAAAGGCAATGTATTCATATTCAAGTTTATCTGATTTTTATAACTAAAATAAAAAAATGTATCCCTGTTGCCTAACAGTAACGAAGAGGAGCAATGGGTCAGTGTGATTTATCTGTATTCCAGCTCTCCTTTCTGCTTCCAGTAGTTCCTGGATCAACCACAAAAAAATCTTTTATGCAAATATTCTATGTACAACTAAAGAGAGTTCACTCAGGTTTCCTCAGCAGAATCCCCAAAATTACACAAATAACTTCTTCTTTTCACTCCCTCCTGCCTCACAATCTCTCTCCCTTAAGGAAAGTAATTACTCCATCAGTGGTGTCCTTAGTTGTTGTTCTACAGTGTTCACGGGTTGTTACGATCACTTCTTCCCTCTGCTTTTTGTGATATCGTCTGATGTCTACACTTTCTATTGCTTCAAATATTCCTCTTTCCCCTCTTGATGAAAACATGCTGTAGAATTAAAGCAAAATAATGCTGTCCTTTTAGCTTGCTATCTGTTGCATTGCTCTTCAGAGGTTCTTCTATTTAGTTTTGATGTAGAGAGGTTTACAATGATACTACTCAGATCACGGAAAATGACGAGCAGCATCAATGGCACCAAATAACTTATTACAATGCAGAAACTTAGGCTTCCTGAAACAGAATGTGCAGTTTCAATGAGCCCACTGCTAATTTATTTGGGAAGGGAACTTCCCTTCTACCTTGCATTAACCTGACATAAAATGTTTATTTATAAAATTACCTGTCTCAGATGTTGATCCATCCTTTATTTCTGGGGCTATATTGGAAACGGAATCTTTCTCATCACTTATAGCCTGAAGGGGATTTGAAGAAAAATAATCAACACATAAAGAATATATCATAGACTACACAGTTAATAGTTCAAAATACAAATGAGGGTGTAATTACCTCCAAGGTCAGTTGTTTCTGAGAAGACACTGAAAAGAAAAAGGGATACATAATAAACCATATGTAAATGTGGTAAAGATATAGATACATTCATTCCATATTAGCATCAACCTGTCTTTTCCTGCCCGTATTCGTGTAGGCTTTGAGGTTTTATACTTTGTGTCTTGAAACAGGAACATGACAGAAACACACTGAAGAAAACAACAATACAGGCTTCACAATATATACTCTGACAATTTCAAATGCGATGTAATTTTTCATATAAATATTTCAAAAATAAGAGAGTATCAGTATCAATGTCAGTATGCTGAGGAATGAGGACCAATGTGATCTAAAACCAGAGAAGCAACTCAGACACCTGGGAATCAATGTCAAAGCAGGTGGCACTACTCTCACATATCGTTCATGCAACATATCAAAAGAATTTATAGCACTAGACTACAAATATTCCTCATGCTCTTTAACTTGCCCAATAACTGAGAAGGTACACAATTACAATGACACTTCAGTTGAATGTATACTTCATGTCTACAGGGAAGGGTCCTAAATAGATCAGCTTGGATATAAGTTGGGTGAATACTTGTAGATAATATCCATTATTTCTCAAACCCTTGTGGTGTAATGACTTTCCTACATTGAGGGAATCCTCTACTTGAGCTTGCTGAAAGTTTCTTCACACACTCATGCAACACGGTAAGACTCATAGGCCTCAATAAACAGTATCATCCTTTATCAGTTTTGACATACTTCTACTAAATAAAACTGCTACAAGCACTAGATATTAATAAGCTTCTACATTCAGATATCACTCCAATATTCATTGAAAATAAACTATTTGGGAGTCAATTAATGATTTCAACATTATTTTCTTTCCAATATAGTCTGGTTTGAAGTATCATGTTTTTCACTAAAGAACTTTTATTAAACTGCTATTTGATCCAAAAGTTAGCTCCTCAAAAAACAAAGTGAATGTACGTATATTCATGTTTATCTCATTCAAATAACTAACGTCAACAAAACATATGTCTCCGATGCCCAAGAGTAACAAAGGCTAGTATAGACAAACACAGGATAGAATATTAAAAACATAAAAGGGCACAGTGGCTTGTTAATATAATCTCAGCTACTCAGAAGGCTGAGACAGAAGTATCACTTGAGCAACCCAGGAGTTTGAGACCAGCCAGGCCAACATAGCAAGATTCTATCTTTATAGAAATAATCATGCACACCGGACATGGTGGCTAAAGCTTGTAATCCCAGCACTTTGGGAGGCAGAATCCCTGGAAGTCAGGTGATTGAGACCATCATGGCCAACATGGTGAAACCCCATCGCTTCTAATGATACAAAAATTAGCTGGTGTGGTGGCACACACCTGTAGTGCCAGCTACTAGGGAGGTGGGGGCAGGAGAATCACTTGATTCCAAGAGATGGATGTTGCAATGAGCCATGTCTGTGCCATTGCACTCTAGCCTGGGCAGCAGAAAGTATGAGACTGTGTCTTAAAATTAAAAAAAAAAAACAGAAACAAAGAAAGAAAAGAAAAAAGAAGAATCAGTAAATAATATAATAGAAAGGCTTAAACAGCTTACAATTTTTTAAAGAATCTTCATGAGGAATCCTCTTTATTTCATGTGGTCTTGAAACAATCTAGAAGAAAAACACAATCAGTTTAAGAATAACATACAGCAAGTTAAAATAATTATAATAGCTGCCATTACTACCTAATATAACACAAAATGTACAGCTTTTGAAGTTACACATAGGTAGATTCAAATTTTGAGACTGCCATTTACTTATCTACATATTCTAATGCCCTGATGATTATGACTGGTGTTATAGATAGTCTCAAAATGTGACTCCTTTCAGCTCTAGTTTTTTATTATATAAATACTATGATACTATTAGTTTCTTTTCCTATCCACAACAACCTAGGACAAAAATTTACTCGTATGTAATTTAGGGTATCACTGAATAAGAATAATAATACAAAAGTAAATTAACCACATTATTTTTCAAAATATCTATGCATTATATCTATCTGTGTGAATTACATTTTGTGGGAATAAAATGTGAGCCTGTGGCTTTTAGTAGTACTATATTTAAATGGGTTGGCATTGGAAACAGTACAAGTTGCTTGTATTCTCTGTGTTGAAAGCTAAGAACAAATTATTATATAACTTCGTCTCCTTCCAAAAAATAGAGAACAAAACAACCATCCACCTTATAGAGTAATGATTGATGAATGAAAGCCACACATAGCTGCTAAAGAGAAAGCTGCAATAAGTATGCTCATAATAGAAACAGAGGTGAAATAAAAAAACAGACACTAAAGACATGTGTTCTGCAAGGAAAAAGTTAAGACTGAGGTAAATCGTGTGAGATGGATTTTCTGGATACAGCACACCCACGGGTTTTGGCTTTTTATCCGATTTGCCAGTCTGTGTCTTTTGATTGGGGCGTTTAGTCCATTTACATTTAGGGTTAATATTGTTATGTGTGAATTTGATACTGCCATTTTGATGCTAGCTGGCTATTCTGCCCTTTAGTTGATGCAGATTCTTCATTTTGTTGATGCTCTTTACCATTTGGTATGTTTTTGGAGTGGCTGGTACTGGTTGTCCCTTTCTATGTGTAGTGCCTCTTTCAGGAGCTCTTGTAAAGCAGGCGTGGTGGTGACAAAATCTCTGAGTACTTGCTTGTTCGCAAAGGATTTTATTTTTCCTTCATTTATGAAGCTTAGTTTGGCTGGATATGAAATTCTGGGTTGAAAGTTCTTTTCTTTAAGGATGCTGAATATCGGCCCCCACTCTCTTCTGGCTTGTGGGGTTTCTGCTGAGAGATCTGCTGTGAGTCTGATAGGCTTCCCTTTGTGGGTAACCTGAACTTTCTCTCTGGCTGCCCTTAGCATTTTCTCCTTCATTTCAACCCTGGTGAATCTGACGATTATGTGCCTTGGGGTTGCTCGTTTTGAGGAATATCTTTGTGGTGTTCTCTGTATTTCCTGCACTGGAATATTGGTCTGCCTTGCTAGGTTGGAGACGTTTTCCTGGGTAATATCCTGAAGAGTACTTTCCAGCTTGGATTCATTCTCTTCATCACATTCAGGTACACCTATGAAACGTAGATTAGGTCTTTTCACATAGTCCCATATTTCTTGGGGTCTTTGTTCATTCCTTTTTATGCTTTTGTTCTCTAATCTTGCCTTCTCATTCTGTTTCACTGAGTTGATCTTCGACCTCAGATATCCTTTCTTCTGCTTGGTCAATTCAGCTGTTGAAACTTGTGTATGCTTCACGAAGTTCTCGTGTTGTGTTTCTCAGCTCCATCAATTCACTTATATGCCTCTCTACATTGTCCATTCTCGTTAGCATTATGTCAAATCTTATTTCAAGGTTCTTAGTTTCTTTGCATGGGTTAGAACATGTTATTTTAGCTCACAGAAGTTTCTCATTACCCACCTTCTGATGTCTGATTCTGTCATTTCATCACACGCATTCTCCGTCCAGCCTTGTTCCCTTGCTGGTGAGGAGTTGTGACTCCTTGCAGGAGGAGAGGTGTTCTGGTTTTGGGTGTTTTCCTCCTTTTTGCACTGGTTTCTTCCCATCTTTGTGGATCTATCCACCTGTCTTCTTTGTAGTTGCTGATTTTCAGATTGCGTCTCTGAGTGGACATCCAGTTTGTTCATGACGAAGTTATTTCTGTTTCTTAGTTTTCCTTCTAACAGTCTGGCCCCTCTGCTGTAGGACTGCTGAGGTCCACCGCAGGCCCTGCTTGCCTGGGGATCACCTGCAGCAGCTGCAGAACAGTAAGGGTTGCTACCAGTTTCTTCTTCTTCTATCTTTGTCCCAGAATGATGCCTGCCAAATGTCAGGCTGATCAGTTTTTTGTGAGGTGACTCTTTGGATATATGGGGGTCAGGGAGCTGCCTGAGGAGACAGTCTTTCCTTTATAGAAGCTCAAGTGCTGAGCTGTGAGCTCCATTGTTCACTCAGAGATGCTGGGCAGGTACGTTTAAATCTGCTGCAGCAGAACTCATAAATCCCCCTTTTATTCCCCAGGTGCTCTGTCCCAGGGAGTTAGGGCTTGATTTATGAGTTTCTGTTGTGCTGCTTGCTTTTTTATCAGGGCTACCCTGCCCAGCAACGAGGCAGCCTAGTCACTGTCTGCCTGCAGAGGCTTTGCTGAGCTGCTGTGGGCTCTGCCCGGCTGCCATGTGAACTTCCCTGCAGTCCTGTTTATGTGGGTGTTTGTAGATCTGCCTCGGCAATGCTGGCCCACCTCTGTAATGGCAGACTCTCTCTGTAATGGCGGGTTGCCTCAGCAATGGTGGGCTGCCTCAACAATGGCAGACTACCTCTGTAGGTTTGGAGTGCCTCAGTAATGGCAGATGCCCCTTCCCCACAGAGCTGGACTGTCCCAGGTTCAGCTGTGCTTGCCTTGAAACTCTCAACCCAGAGGGTTTCCAATTGCTGGGTTTTGTGGCGGGGGCGGGCGGGGGGGACCCGCCGAGCCTGATCACCTGGCTCCCTGCCTCAGAGTCTTTTTTTTTTTTTCAGTTGAACAGTTGACTCCCAGGTGTTCCAGTCGCCTGCTGAAAAAACACCGGGATCTGTGTGATTTCCCATGCGGTGACCCACTGCACTGTCTGAAACAACGGCGCTGAGATTCGTGGCACTTTTTCACCTGGTAATCCCCTGGCCTGGCTCCCTGTTTCAGACCCCTGTTTAATGAGGTGTATGGGCGACTCTAACTTCCTGGAGTTCCAATCACCAGCTTAAAAGGACAACCACACCAGTGTATTTTGTATGGAGAACTGCCACGCTGGAGCACCAGCAAAATAGCCGCGCTGGCCAAAACAGCCGCACTGGTGACTCATGGGGCTCCTCTGCCTGGGAATCTCCTGATCTCTGGGCAATAAAGATCCATCTGGAAATGCGGTGTCCACTCACCCTCTGCGCTTTCGCTGGGAGCTGCAATCCCGAGCTGCTCCTAAATGAGCATCTTGGATCTTCCTCCTGGACTAATAATTTTTATTCACAATTTCAAAGAATAATGTATGCCTTGAAATATATATATTTAATAGAATATGACTGGAGCTTTAACAGTTAAGAAAATTTTATCCAAAATCCTAACCTACGCTTCCAGTTGGAAGGTATTAGAAGACATGTTGTATCCACCTTTCCAATTTCAATCCATCTTTTCTAATTTTTATTTTCTTCCATATGATGTATTTTCTAAACAGAAGTCACGTAAATTTACACATTGTCAACCTTAGAAGAAAAGATAAACTGAAAACATTCTAGAAATTTAACAGATTTCATTATTAGCTATATTATGCATATGTGTTAACTATAACATTCCATTATATAAAAGCCCATTTTCTGGTTTGTTTATTCACACTAAAACTGTTACACTGTTTTTGATATGCAAGATATTATTCTACGTATTCCAGGATACATACAAATATGTTCTCTATTTCAAGTGGCTCATAGTAATGCAGGAGCTTTACAACTACTTTTTCAAGAACAAAGTGCAAAAGACTCCAAAATTTGAAGTTCAGAATGAGATACAAGGACCCCGAGTGGATATTTTTTTAAATTATAATGCAAAACCCTTGCGGAATTAAAGTCTTACCATAAGAATATGAAGAGTCTCTGCTTATCAAACAGGTTGTTTTTTTTTTTTAACAAAATGTATATTCTTCCAATAGATGAAGCGTTTAAAGCGTATTCTTAATTATAAAAATATTTAGAAAACACAGTGTAGACCCTTTGTAATACAGATTTCAGAAGGGAACTTAAATTTCTAATCTCCCACAATTTTTTATTTTTAATTAGAGATAAGGTCTTGCATGGACTCAAGCAATTCTCCTAGCTTCATCTCTTGAAGAGCTGGGACTACAGGCATATGTTACCCTGTCTAGTCAAATTTCCAGAATCTCTGGTATTCTTTTAGTCTAATTATAGAACCGAAGGTAAAAATAAAGAAACTGCTCACTGCAAAAATGGTATATATCAAAGTAAATGTAAAAGACATTAAAAGAAACTATACGCTATGTGTAGCAGGGTGATTCCATGATTCCTGTAATGTCATTTAATCTATTAAACACACATTTAAACAGAAGTATTATTACTCATACTCATATTATTTATAACTCAAAATAAAGACACTTACTCAAATAAGTCTAGACCAACATTCCTATTTCCTCTATTGCAAGAAAGCATTCTCCAACATCATTTTCCTGTCAGCATATATTTTCCAGCCCATTTTTTTCAGATCCCACCTCTCAAAGTACTTATCAACTATTTCTTATTTGCCAAGTAAACAAAATAAAAATTAACCCCTCCTATGTCTTTGAAATGGTTATCTCTAATAAAATTTTTAATGCAACCGTAAAACACTGATAGGTAGACAACTGCTACATCTAGAAGATAGTAATATACAAAATGAGATTCAGAGTGAGAATTTAATTTTACAAGTGAGTACTTTACCACAGAATCAGAATCAGAATCAGAATCGTCCTTTAGCCCAGACTTGGGAAAAACACGCTGTGCCCAGAAATGCCTACAGAGGAAAAAGTTACAACAGAAATGAGCAGGTTCATTTCTTAAAACAAAACAAAACTGTCAGTCTATACATCCATGTCCCCTCCCAAAAAGATGGTAAAACAAAGTCTGAGGAAGGTCAGTTAGCTGTACATTAAATAATATTTCTTGATATAATTTAGATATGGCCTCTGTTTTAGAAAGCATTTTAGTTACCTATTTCTGCCTCCACCTCTCCCGCCTATTAAATATCCAATGAACACTCACCCTTAAACCCGTAGCAAATACTGACAGGCAATACAATGGCACCACCAGACAATAATTTGTCCTTACAAATTATCTAATATCTGACAGAACTTTTGCTACTGAACTGGAATAAATGTGATAACCTAAAACGAGGTAGAAAATGCACTGTCTCTTCTCCATTATCTATTTCTGATTCAAAGATTAATCTGTGTCACTGGAAAATGGGAGTCATGGATCTTCAGCATGTAAACAGTGCCCATTGATTCTGTTTACCCCAGAAAACTACACGGAGCCCCCTGAAACACTGGACATGTTTGAAAGCTGAGGGCACAAAAATCAAAATATAAAGGTTTACATTGTTATCACGAATATTCTTCAGAGAAGATTAAAACACTAAAAATTATAAAATTCAATTGCTGTTATTATATAGATCCTCCCTAATTCAGGTCCACAAAAACCAGCAAGATTAACAATCTTCATAGACACTCAGACACCCAAGTCAGACTGGGGAAAAGTCTCCCTACTGAATAGTTACAGCTCCATTTCATTCGTTACTATCTAATTATCTTCCTTCCCATAGACTCCCACTTCTGGATCCCTCTCCTGCAGGGACCCATGGCAGTATCCAATCTACACCTTCAGCCTAGGAAGGACAGATGCCTAAAAAGACAAGCTAAAGTAATTGAGATTAGGAGCTCTCTGTTCCTCTGCTGCTGGAAAGTAAGTAAATCTCAGTCAGTAATCCCAAGCATAGGAATGTTACCAAGTACCCAAATGAAGCTTCATTACCGACTTACCAACCAAACCTACCATTGCCCTAACCTACAGGTATATGGGAGAATTGGAAAAAAAAGGCAGAAAGAAAATTACATCCGCCCTGGGTCACAGATCTATGTACTTAAGCAATCTCCAGCTCCCTAATTCGTGAGGTGTTCTAAGGCCTCTGTAAGCTTGGGTGGAAGAAGATAATACCACATTCCTATATACTCTAGAGACTCTTTCCAGTGGCTCAAGTTCTTTTAACATTTTTCAATAAAATCTTTAAAGTTTGGTAGTTCCTCAAAAAGGAACAAAAAGGCAGCAGCCTTTTCAGAACCCCTTGAATGCCCTATTTTAATATGCCTTTCTTCATTACTTCCAACATTCGGTGTTTCCAATTTCTCAAGGGTTTATTTCTCTTCAAACTTAGCTGTGCCCTGCAAATTCCATTCTTATCCACTTTCATTGAGTTCAACAGCTCATTCCATTCTCATCCTCTTCCACTGTGTTCACTAGAGCCACTCCCTCTTTCTGTTATAAAAACACTCAATGACAAAATGATGTGAAAGAAGACTGGGTTTTGAATCAAGAAACCTAGTGCAAATCTCATATCTGCCATTTACAATATCCAACTGAATAATTTTATCTCTTTCAGTTTCAGATTCTCCACCCAAACAACCATTTAATCGGGATGGTAAACACAGATTTGACTAATGGAGGATATTTTGTTTAGTCTCCAGGATTTCTTAAAATTCTGAAATTCTGTGCACTTCTGATTTTGTCTATAGGAAAATGGGGAATATTTAGCTACCATACATGAAAACAATAATAGAAAGTAAAAAAAAAAAAACCTAAGCAATGCAGAAGAGAAAGTAACAAAAAATCAAGAAAATATTATTTAAATGTCATAGAAAGAAAAAAATAAATCCAGAAAACAAGAAAAAGCTTCATTGAACTAGGCAGGGTACTCAAAGAGAAAACCAAACTGGGTAGTCAGTAAGTGGAGAAATGAATTAGAAATACCTTTTCCGTATATGCTAAATATAGCTAATATAACATAGACTATGTGTTGATATTTTCCATGTGCAGTAAAATGATTTCTCTCTTGGACTGATCTGCTCTTGCTTATGAAACACCTAGAGTCCCTTGGCTACAGATAATTGATATCTGCCTTCAAAACATTGATTGTTAAACAACAACAAAAAAAAAAAAAAAAAAACAGGGACTGGTTACCAGTGTAATTTCCAAACATATTAGGACAAGCTTTTGGAGTAGCCAAGCTTCTAAGGGACACTCTAAAGAGAACTAATATATAACAAAACGTGATGTTCTGAATTCATCTAATTTAAGCCAGTACCTTGATCCCATTGCTGCACACACCTCTCTCTAAGTATGCTTAGGTGCAAAGTGATTTGAAAAGCCAGGCAGGATGCTTGTCAAATCATGGGTTGGCTACCTGTTAACTACGGAATCATGAGCCAAAATTTCAACCTATTTTAACCAGAGTTGCATCATCAGTAAGAAAGCAATAATAGCACCAATACTTTGTAAAGCTGTGTGAAGATGACATGAGATGATAAATGTGAATCAGGTAATATGATGTCTAACATAGCTTAGAACACTAAACAGATACTAGTCTCTATTCTCTCTATCCACTTAGTTAACACATCACTTTAAAAAAATCTGTAAAATCGTACCTGTTTAAATGCTTGTCAACGGCAGGATGCACTTTAAAAAAAAGTAAAATGTATTTTAAATAAACAATAGAAAACTATAGAATACTGAAAACATAAAAGAGCACAAGAACTTGTTCCTATAATCTCACTTACTCAGAAGGCTGAGACAGAAATATCACTTGAGGAGCCCAGGAGTTTGAGACCAGCCTGGGCAGCACAGCAAGATTCTATCTTTATAACAATAATCATGCAGGCTGCTTGTGGTGGCTCGCGCCTCTAATCCCAGCACTTTGGGAGGCCGAGGCGGGTGGATCATTTGAGGTCAGTAAATAAAGACAAGCCTGGCCAACATGGTGAAACCTCGTCCCTACTAAAAATACAAAAAGTAGTCAGGTGTGGTGGCCCACACCTGTGATATATCTATTTCTAAAAATACTCAGTGTCAATAGCAATGTGGATACGCCAGGTGATGAGAACCAGTGTGATCTAAAATCAGAGGAGCAACTCATACACCTGGGAATCAATGTCAAAGCAGGTGGCACTACTCCCACATGTCTTTCATGCAACACATCAGAAGAATTTATACCATTGGACTACAAATATTCATCATGATCTTCAACTTGCCCAGTAACTGAGAAGGTATACAATTACAATGACACTTCAGTTGAATGTATACCTCATGTCTCTGCAGGGAAGGGTCCTAACTAGATCAGCTTGGATATAAGTTTGCTGAATTCTTGTAGATAATATATATTATTTCTCACACCCTTGTGGTGTAATGACTTTCCTACATTTAGGGAATCCTCTACTTGAGCCTTCGGAAAATTTCTTCACACACTCATGCAACACGGGAAGACACATACGCCCCAATAAACAGTATCATCCTTTATCAGTTTTGACATACTTCTACTAAATAAAACTGCTACAAGCACTAGATATTAATAAGCTTCTACATTCAGATATCACTCCAATATTCATTCAAAATAAATATTTTTTGAGTCACTTAATGAATTCAACATAACTTTTCTTTCTAAAATAGTCTTCTTTGAAATTTGTTATCCTATAAAGAAATTTCATCAAACCAATGGAACCAATGTATTCATAGTCAAGTTTATCTTATTTCAGTACTTAAAATGAACAAAACATCTATCTCTGACGCCTAATAGCAACAAAGAATGGTAATGAGTCACTGTGGTTTGTCCCAATTCTAGCACTCTTTCCTGTTTCCAGTAGTTTCTGGAGCAGCCACAATAAAATCTTCTTTTATGCAAATATTCTATATGCAACTAAAGAGAGTTCACTCAGGTTTCCTCAGCAGAATCCCCAAAATTACACAAATCACTTCTTCTTTTCCCTCCCTCCTGCCTCACAATCTCTCTTCCTTAAGGAAAGTAATTACTCCATCAGTGGTGTCCTTAGTTGTTGTTCTAAAGTGTTCACGGGTTGTTACGATCACTTCTTCCCTCTGCTTTTTGTGATATCGTCTGATGTCTACACTTTCTATTGCTTCAAATATTCCTCTTTCCCCTCTTGATGAAAACATGCTGTAGAATTAAAGCAAAATAATGCTGTCCTTTTAGCTTGCTATCTGTTGCATTGCTCTTCAGAGGTTCTTCTATTTAGTTTTGATGTAGAGAGGTTTACAATGATACTACTCAGATCACGGAAAATGACGAGCAGCATCAATGGCACCAAATAACTTATTACAATGCAGAAACTTAGGCTTCCTGAAACAGAATGTGCAGTTTCAATGAGCCCGCTGCTAATTTATTTGGGAAGGGAACTTCCCTTCTACCTTGCATTAACCTGACATAAAATGTTTATTTATAAAATTACCTGTCTCAGATGTTGATCCATCCTTTATTTCTGGGGCTATATTGGAAACGGAATCTTTCTCATCACTTAGATCCTGAAGGGGATTTGAAGAAAAATAATCAACACATAAAGGATATATCATAGACTACACAGTTAATAGTTCAAAATACAAATGAGGGTGTAATTACCTCCAAGGTCAGTTGTTTCTGAGAAGACACTGAAGAGAAAAAGGGATACATAATAAACCATATGTAAATGTGGTAAAGATATAGAAACATTCATTCCGTATTAGCATCAACCTGTATTTTCCTGCCTGTATTCGCGTAGGCTTTGAGGTTTTATACTTTGTGTCTTGAAACAGGAACATGACAGAAACACACTGAAGAAAACAACAATACAGGCTTCACAATATATACTCTGACAATTTCAAATGCGATGTAATTTTTCATATAAATATTTCAAAAATAAGAGAGTATCAGTAACAATGTCAATATGCTGAGGAATGAGGACCAATGTGATCTAAAACCAGAGAAGCAACTCAGACACCTGGGAATCAATGTCAAAGCAGGTGGCACTACTCCCACATATCTTTCATGCAACATATCAAAAGAATTTATACCACGAGACTACAAATATTCCTCATGCTCTTTAACTTGCCCAATAACTGAGAAGGTACACAATTACAATGACACTTCAGTTGAATGTATACTTCATGTCTACAGGGAAGGGTCCTAAATAGATCAGCTTGGATATAAGTTGGGTGAATACTTGTAGATAATATCCATTATTTCTCAAACCCTTGTGGTGAAATGACTTTCCTACATTGAGGGAATCCTCTACTTGAGCTTGCTGAAAGTTTCTTCACACACTCATGCAACACGGTAAGACACATAGGCCTCAATAAACAGTATCATCCTTTATCAGTTTTGACATACTTCTACTAAATAAAACTGCTACAAGCATTAGATATGAATCAGCATTTACATTCAGATATCACTCCAATATTCATTGAAATTAACCATTTTTGGAGTCAGTTAATTAATTCAACATAATTTTTGTTTCTAAAATAGTCTTCTTTGAAATGTCAATTTCTCTAAAGAAATTTAATTAAATAGCTATTTTATTCAAGAGTTAGCTCCTTGACCAATGGAGCCAATCTATTCATATTCAAGTTTATCTTATTTCAATAATTGAAATGAACAAAACATCTATCTCTGATGCCTAATAGCAACAAAGAAGGGTAATGAGTCACTGCAATTTATCCCAATTCTAGCACTCTTTCCTGTTTCCAGTAGTTTCTGGAGCAGGCAAAATAAAATCTTCTTTTACGCAGATATTCTACATAAATCCAAAGTGAGTTCATTCACGTTTCCTCAGCAGAAACCCCTAAATTACATACATAACCTTTCCTTTTCCCTCTTTGCTGCCTCACAATCCCTCTTCCTTGGAGAAAATAATTATTACATCAGTGGTCTCATTAGTTCTCTCATTCTACAGTGTTTATGGGTTATTGCAATCACTTCATCCCTCTGGTTTCAGCAATACAACCTGATGTCTATCATTTCTATTACTACATCTCTTTTTCCCTTCCTTCCAGAAGAAAACATGCTGTAGAATTAAAGTAAAATCATGCTGTCCCCTGAGCTGCCTATGTCTTGAATTGCTCTTCAGAGGTCCTTCTATTTAATTTTGACATAAAGAAGTTTACAATCGTACTACTCAGATCACCGACAAGGACCCGCAGCATCAGTGGCACCAAATAACTTATTATAAATGCAGAATCTCAGGCTTCCTGAATCAGAATATGCAGTTTCATCGAGCCCCCTACTGATTTATTTGGGAAGAGAAGTTCCCTTCTATCTTGCATTAACCTGATATTAAATGTGTATGGTAAAATTACCTGTCCCAGATTTTGATCCATCCTTTATTTCTGGGGCTATATTCAAAACAGAATCTTTCTTGTCACTTGTAGCCTGAATCAGATTTGAAGCACAATAATCAGCACATAACGTCTATTTCACAGACTACACAATTAATAGTTCAAAATACAAATAGGAGTGTAATTACCTTCAAGGCTGGTTGTTTCTGAGAAGACACTGAAAAGAAAAAGGGATACATAATAAATCATATGTAAATATGATAAAGATATCCATATATTCATGCACTGTTAGCATCAACCTGTATTTTCCTGCCTGTATTAGTGTGGGCTTTGAGGTTTTATACTTTGTGCCTTGGGACAGAAATATGACAAAAACACACTGAAGAAAACAGGAATATAGGCGTCACAAATTCCAACATGATATAATTTGACATATAACTATTTCTAAAATAAGAGAATATCAATATCAATATCAATGTGCAAATCCTTAGTGATGATGACCAATGTGATCTACAATCAGAGGAGCAACTCATACACCTGGGAATCAATGTCAAAGCAGGTGGTACATACTCCCTCTTATATTTCATGCAAGACACCAGAAGGATTTATACCATTATACTACAAACATTCATCATGCTCTTTCACTTGCCCGATAATGGAGAAGGTACACAATGACAATGACACTTCAGTTAAATGTACAGCTCAGGTCTCCTCAGTGGAAGTGTCCCTAATTGATCAGCTTGCATATATGTTTGGTGAATCCCAGTAAATAATATTCCTTATTTCTCACATTCATGTGGTGTACTAATTAGCCTGTGTTTCTTCTATCCTGTTGTTTAGTTTTCCAAAAGTTTCATCATCCATGACAACAAGGTATTATATAAAATCCTCAATAAAAAGTATCAACGATTGTCAATTTTGACAAACTTCTATAAAATAATACTGCCTCATTAGATATTAATATGCTGTCACGTTCAAAAATCGCTCCAATATGGATTGAAATAACCCATTTTAGAGTGAATTAATGAACTCAACAATACTTTCATTTCTAAAAGTCTTCTTTAAAATAGCATATTATTCTCTAAAGAATTTTGATTAAATAGCTATGTGTTCCAAGAGTTACCTCCTTGAACAACAAAGGCAATGTATTCATATTCAAGTTTATCTGATTTTTATAACTAAAATAAAAAAATGTATCTCTGTTGCCTAACAGTAACGAAGAGGAGCAATGGGTCAGTGTGATTTATCTGTATTCCAGCTCTCCTTTCTGCTTCCAGTAGTTCCTGGATCAGCCACAAAAAAATCTTTTATGCAAATATTCTATGTACAACTAAAGAGAGTTCACTCAGGTTTCCTCAGCAGAATCCCCAAAATTACACAAATAACTTCTTCTTTTCACTCCCTCCTGCCTCACAATCTCTCTCCCTTAAGGAAAGTAATTACTCCATCAGTGGTGTCCTTAGTTGTTGTTCTACAGTGTTCACGGGTTGTTACGATCACTTCTTCCCTCTGCTTTTTGTGATATCGTCTGATGTCTACACTTTCTATTGCTTCAAATATTCCTCTTTCCCCTCTTGATGAAAACATGCTGTAGAATTAAAGCAAAATAATGCTGTCCTTTTAGCTTGCTATCTGTTGCATTGCTCTTCAGAGGTTCTTCTATTTAGTTTTGATGTAGAGAGGTTTACAATGATACTACTCAGATCACGGAAAATGACGAGCAGCATCAATGGCACCAAATAACTTATTACAATGCAGAAACTTAGGCTTACTGAAACAGAATGTGCAGTTTCAATGAGCCCGCTGCTAATTTATTTGGGAAGGGAACTTCCCTTCTACCTTGCATTAACCTGACATAAAATGTTTATTTATAAAATTACCTGTCTCAGATGTTGATCCATCCTTTATTTCTGGGGCTATATTGAAAACGGAATCTTTCTCATCACTTATAGCCTGAAGGGGATTTGAAGAAAAATAATCAACACATAAAGGATATATCATAGACTACACAGTTAATAGTTCAAAATACAAATGAGGGTGTAATTACCTCCAAGGTCAGTTGTTTCTGAGAAGACACTGAAAAGAAAAAGGGATACATAATAAACCATATGTAAATGTGGTAAAGATATAGATACATTCATTCCGTATTAGCATCAACCTGTCTTTTCCTGCCCGTATTCGTGTAGGCTTTGAGGTTTTATACTTTGTGTCTTGAAACAGGAACATGACAGAAACACACTGAAGAAAACAACAATACAGGCTTCACAATATATACTCTGACAATTTCAAATGCGATGTAATTTTTCATATAAATATTTCAAAAATAAGAGAGTATCAGTATCAATGTCAGTATGCTGAGGAATGAGGACCAATGTGATCTAAAACCAGAGAAGCAACTCAGACACCTGGGAATCAATGTCAAAGCAGGTGGCACTACTCTCACATATCGTTCATGCAACATATCAAAAGAATTTATAGCACTAGATTACAAATATTCCTCATGCTCTTTAACTTGCCCAATAACTGAGAAGGTACACAATTACAATGACACTTCAGTTGAATGTATACTTCATGTCTACAGGGAAGGGTCCTAAATAGATCAGCTTGGATATAAGTTGGGTGGATACTTGTAGATAATATCCATTATTTCTCAAACCCTTGTGGTGTAATGACTTTCCTACATTGAGGGAATCCTCTACTTGAGCTTGCTGAAAGTTTCTTCACACACTCATGCAACACGGTAAGACTCATAGGCCTCAATAAACAGTATCATCCTTTATCAGTTTTGACATACTTCTACTAAATAAAACTGCTACAAGCACTAGATATTAATAAGCTTCTACATTCAGATATCACTCCAATATTCATTGAAAATAAACTATTTGGGAGTCAATTAATGATTTCAACATTATTTTCTTTCCAATATAGTCTGGTTTGAAGTATCATGTTTTTCACTAAAGAACTTTTATTAAACTGCTATTTGATCCAAAAGTTAGCTCCTCAAAAAACAAAGTGAATGTACGTATATTCATGTTTATCTCATTCAAATAACGAACGTCAACAAAACATGTCTCCGATGCCCAAGAGTAACAAAGGCTAGTATAGACAAACACAGGATAGAATATTAAAAACATAAAAGGGCACAGTGGCTTGTTAATATAATCTCAGCTACTCAGAAGGCTGAGACAGAAGTATCACTTGAGCAACCCAGGAGTTTGAGACCAGCCAGGCCAACATAGCAAGATTCTATCTTTATAGAAATAATCATGCACACCGGACATGGTGGCTAAAGCTTGTAATCCCAGCACTTTGGGAGGCAGAATCCCTGGAAGTCAGGTGATTGAGACCATCATGGCCAACATGGTGAAACCCCATCGCTTCTAATGATACAAAAATTAGCTGGTGTGGTGGCACACACCTGTAGTGCCAGCTACTAGGGAGGTGGGGGCAGGAGAATCACTTGATTCCAAGAGATGGATGTTGCAATGAGCCATGTCTGTGCCATTGCACTCTAGCCTGGGCAGCAGAAAGTATGAGACTGTGTCTTAAAATTAAAAAAAAAAAAACAGAAACAAAGAAAGAAAAGAAAAAAGAAGAATCAGTAAATAATATAATAGAAAGGCTTAAACAGCTTACAATTTTTTAAAGAATCTTCATGAGGAATCCTCTTTATTTCATGTGGTCTTGAAACAATCTAGAAGAAAAACACAATCAGTTTAAGAATAACATACAGCAAGTTAAAATAATTATAATAGCTGTCATTACTACCTAATATAACACAAAATGTACAGCTTTTGAAGTTACACATAGGTAGATTCAAATTTTGAGACTGCCATTTACTTATCTACATATTCTAATGCCCTGATGATTATGACTGGTGTTATAGATAGTCTCAAAATGTGACTCCTTTCAGCTCTAGTTTTTTATTATATAAATACTATGATACTATTAGTTTCTTTTCCTATCCACAACAACCTAGGACAAAAATTTACTCGTATGTAATTTAGGGTATCACTGAATAAGAATAATAATACAAAAGTAAATTAACCACATTATTTTTCAAAATATCTATGCATTATATCTATCTGTGTGAATTACATTTTGTGGGAATAAAATGTGAGCCTGTGGCTTTTAGTAGTACTATATTTAAATGGGTTGGCATTGGAAACAGTACAAGTTGCTTGTATTCTCTGTGTTGAAAGCTAAGAACAAATTATTATATAACTTCGTCTCCTTCCAAAAAATAGAGAACAAAACAACCATCCACCTTATAGAGTAATGATTGATGAATGAAAGCCACACATAGCTGCTAAAGAGAAAGCTGCAATAAGTATGCTCATAATAGAAACAGAGGTGAAATAAAAAAACAGACACTAAAGACTGTGTTCTGCAAGGAAAAAGTTAAGACTGAGGTAAATCGTGTGAGATGGATTTTCTGGATACAGCACACCCACGGGTTTTGGCTTTTTATCCGATTTGCCAGTCTGTGTCTTTTGATTGGGGCGTTTAGTCCATTTACATTTAGGGTTAATATTGTTATGTGTGAATTTGATACTGCCATTTTGATGCTAGCTGGCTATTCTGCCCTTTAGTTGATGCAGATTCTTCATTTTGTTGATGCTCTTTACCATTTGGTATGTTTTTGGAGTGGCTGGTACTGGTTGTCCCTTTCTATGTGTAGTGCCTCTTTCAGGAGCTCTTGTAAAGCAGGCGTGGTGATGACAAAATCTCTGAGTACTTGCTTGTTCGCAAAGGATTTTATTTTTCCTTCATTTATGAAGCTTAGTTTGGCTGGATATGAAATTCTGGGTTGAAAGTTCTTTTCTTTAAGGATGCTGAATATCGGCCCCCACTCTCTTCTGGCTTGTGGGGTTTCTGCTGAGAGATCTGCTGTGAGTCTGATAGGCTTCCCTTTGTGGGTAACCTGAACTTTCTCTCTGGCTGCCCTTAGCATTTTCTCCTTCATTTCAACCCTGGTGAATCTGACGATTACGTGCCTTGGGGTTGCTCGTTTTGAGGAATATCCTTGTGGTGTTCTCTGTATTTCCTGCACTGGAATATTGGTCTGCCTTGCTAGGTTGGAGACGTTTTCCTGGGTAATATCCTGAAGAGTACTTTCCAGCTTGGATTCATTCTCTTCGTCACATTCAGGTACACCTATGAAACGTAGATTAGGTCTTTTCACATAGTCCCATATTTCTTGGGGTCTTTGTTCATTCCTTTTTATGCTTTTGTTCTCTAATCTTGCCTTCTCATTCTGTTTCACTGAGTTGATCTTCGACCTCAGATATCCTTTCTTCTGCTTGGTCAATTCAGCTGTTGAAACTTGTGTATGCTTCACGAAGTTCTCGTGTTGTGTTTCTCAGCTCCATCAATTCACTTATATGCCTCTCTACATTGTCCATTCTCGTTAGCATTATGTCAAATCTTATTTCAAGGTTCTTAGTTTCTTTGCATGGGTTAGAACATGTTATTTTAGCTCACAGAAGTTTCTCATTACCCACCTTCTGATGTCTGATTCTGTCATTTCATCACACGCATTCTCCGTCCAGCCTTGTTCCCTTGCTGGTGAGGAGTTGTGACTCCTTGCAGGAGGAGAGGTGTTCTGGTTTTGGGTGTTTTCCTCCTTTTTGCACTGGTTTCTTCCCATCTTTGTGGATCTATCCACCTGTCTTCTTTGTAGTTGCTGATTTTCAGATTGCGTCTCTGAGTGGACATCCAGTTTGTTCATGACGAAGTTATTTCTGTTTCTTAGTTTTCCTTCTAACAGTCTGGCCCCTCTGCTGTAGGACTGCTGAGGTCCACCGCAGGCCCTGCTTGCCTGGGGATCACCTGCAGCAGCTGCAGAACAGTAAGGGTTGCTACCAGTTTCTTCTTCTTCTATCTTTGTCCCAGAATGATGCCTGCCAAATGTCAGGCTGATCAGTTTTTTGTGAGGTGACTCTTTGGATATATGGGGGTCAGGGAGCTGCCTGAGGAGACAGTCTTTCCTTTATAGAAGCTCAAGTGCTGAGCTGTGAGCTCCATTGTTCACTCAGAGATGCTGGGCAGGTACGTTTAAATCTGCTGCAGCAGAACTCATAAATCCCCCTTTTATTCCCCAGGTGCTCTGTCCCAGGGAGTTAGGGCTTGATTTATGAGTTTCTGTTGTGCTGCTTGCTTTTTTATCAGGGCTACCCTGCCCAGCAACGAGGCAGCCTAGTCACTGTCTGCCTGCAGAGGCTTTGCTGAGCTGCTGTGGGCTCTGCCCGGCTGCCATGTGAACTTCCCTGCAGTCCTGTTTATGTGGGTGTTTGTAGATCTGCCTCGGCAATGCTGGCCCACCTCTGTAATGGCAGACTCTCTCTGTAATGGCGGGTTGCCTCAGCAATGGTGGGCTGCGTCAGCAATGGCAGACTACCTCTGTAGGTTTGGAGTGCCTCAGTAATGGCAGATGCCCCTTCCCCACAGAGCTGGACTGTCCCAGGTTCAGCTGTGCTTGCCTTGAAACTCTCAACCCAGAGGGTTTCCAATTGCTGGGTTTTGTGGCGGGGGCGGGCGGGGGGGACCCGCCGAGCCTGATCACCTGGCTCCCTGCCTCAGAGTCTTTTTTTTTTTCAGTTGAACAGTTGACTCCCAGGTGTTCCAGTCGCCTGCTGAAAAAACACCGGGATCTGTGTGATTTCCCATGTGGTGACCCACTGCACTGTCTGAAACAACGGCACTGAGATTCGTGGCACTTTTTCACCTGGTAATCCCCTGGCCTGGCTCCCTGTTTCAGACCCCTGTTTAATGAGGTGTATGGGCGACTCTAACTTCCTGGAGTTCCAATCACCAG